GGGAGAAGTTTGGCGCGGAAGGACGCGTCAACACCACGTCTACATTTTATCTTTAAGGAATCACCACGGACTGTTTCCCAACCTCGACCATGAAGGCAAAGCTGCTCTTACCTTATCAAAGGAGTTATTCTAATCCAAACCGCCACACCTCCATGAACCTCACCGAGTTCCACACCAACAGCGGTTGAGTCATGTGGGACGGTTCCGATGTTGTCATGGGCAAGAAGGTACTCCGCCAGTTAATACGAAGGACTCTTTGGTCAACATCTACTAACACTTGAGCACCATCTACACAATCAGACAGTTGGACGCATTTTGCAGAGATGGAGACACTCAGACCGGCGTCGCTCGCGTGGATCTACCTGTGCACGAAAATCTGCTCAGCACAAACGTCTCGAGTCCGAGAAACGCGAGAACAGACAAACCCGCTAACTGGGGTCGAGTGTTCAAACAGCCCCCCCGAGCGGCTCGTGTGGAGGTATGGGACTCGCTGACGGGTAGCAGCGAGACGGGCGGGGTGGAGGTGCTGGTGTACTAATCGGAGAGGGATGGAGGGATGGATGGATGGATGTAGGAGGAGGAGGAGGTAGGGAGGGTTGATAAAGCCTGATCTGTGCCACGGGGCATTTATGGCTGTTGGGGAGGCGGGAGAGGGGGGGGGGGGACGGGTGGGAGGAGGCATTGTCTGCTGTGTCCGCGCATTTATAGGATTGAGCTCAAGTTTCCTTTGTGTTTCCATTTTGTTGAGGGATTATGTTCTTTGAGAGAGTTGTGCAAGCATGCAGGCACACAGAGTGGAGGCGGAGGGAGAGAGAGAGAGAGGGAGGGAGAGAGAAGATGGGTGGGGGGGGGGTGCACGAGGAGGGAGGGAAGATGTCTTTGTTCTGGGCGTTGATCATGAACAAGACAGATAGCAGAGGGTGTGTGTCTGCATGAGCGTGCGTGTGCACCAGTGTGTCTGTGTGTGTCTCGGTGCGTGTGTGTCGGAGAGCAAAGCAAGATGTCAGGACATGTAACCAGCCATGTAACAATTTAAAATCAATTTGCCTCCCAAGAAGGAATCGCTCTGCGAGAGGTTTTTTTTTCTTTCCTCTTCTTTTTTTCTCCCCCCCTGCCATCCGTTCACAGGACTTCCCCTCCATCTAAATAGATATCAATTACATAATCGCTCCTCTCCTCTGCGCCCGGCCGCAGACTGGAAAGTTTGTCACGCCGAGCTGAAGCGTAATTGCCCCCCGCCCTCACCCACCCCAGCCCCCGGGCCCCCCTCGCGTAATGCGTGTGGTGATTGCCGGGGACATTTGCAGCGTCATCGATCTAAACGGGGGCAGAGCCGAAGACCGCGCCGCCTACAGGGGGGAGGTGGCGCGGAGGGCCTAGGTCAAAGGTCGGAAGAGGTGTCGCGCTTCCGCCGCGCCAGACGCTCCCCCAGCCAATCGATCGGTGGCGCCCGTTTGTCTCCGTGAACGCTCGCAGAGAAGAATGAGCACCTGGAAGTGTCGGCTGGTGATAATTGGAGCGCTGAAAGTTCTCCCAACTCCTTTCATTTAGAAAACCAACAAAAGGAAAAAAGGCCGGCGTGGGGTGGGGGGGTGTCTCCACCTTGCTGGAACCCCACCGGGTGCCCGCGTGCCCATCGGGTTCCCCCCAACTTGTTAAAGCACCACATGGTACATTTGCATAGGATAAGCGACATATAGAGAATCATTTGCATGCCGGAAAGTGCACTTGAGTAACCGTAATTACACGTGACACCAATTACTCTGTTACTTTGTATTAAATTATAATGGAAAATTCCACTAGAGAATTGGAGCCTAATTGCATCTTAATTTGCATAATTTTGCATATTAATCACATCTCAGATGAATAATAAATTTCAGCAGGTTTTTTAAATTTATGCATAGATCCAAAAACAAAGTTGGAAAATAATTTGCGAGTGAAAAAAAACGAAGAAGAGAAACAGGACCTATTACTGAGAGCATTTGTGCTAATTTCTCTCATTACCCCACGCGGGAGTCACAGATATCTGTACTCTTGATCAACAAGCATCGCATTTTGAAACGGAGAGTTCGTTAAAAAGCTTCAGCAGTAAAAAAAAACAATGGAGGAAACATTCAATTTGGAAATATAATTTTACGTAGAACTTTGTGGCTCTATTTTAAAGCTCTTTCTATGGCGGAGGAGCCAAATGTTTTCTACAATGATACTTCTAATCACTTTCTGCTTTTCCCTTTTTCTCTCTTTTGTTGTTGTTGTTTTGGTCAACACCTGTGCCTGCTATTGTGTGTGGCTCCCTGCCAGACGCAAAAACCCAATATACCTGTAGCCCGGATTAAATTCAAATCGACAAAAACAACATTTTCTTTTTTCCCATTTTTTTCCAGCCGAAAATTGAACAAAATTATTCCAATAAAACCGATGATGAAGAAAGGACAAAAACTCCAATCTGCTCTTTTGAGTCACTTATCGCTTCACGCTGGAGCATTTTGAATTATGTGTTAAGTCGGAATCCGAACAGGGAAGACGGAAAATACATGAATCAGTTTTATAATTATGTACCTGCGTCAAGACGTCAGGTTTTACCTCGAAGCTTCCGAACCGTTTGTGGCTTCTTCTGACGCTTGAAACAAAGAACAGACGGGCTCCTCGCGGCCCTCCGCGACACACAGGTGGCCCCACCTTGTTGCACAACTCTGTTGTTGCTTTTTTCGGAGAACATTTTCTGAGAAAACCTTCAGAATAATTTGCATGAAAAAAAAGACAAAGATTAGGAGGAAAATGTGAAGAAGAAGGAGAAAAAAAACGTCTCCAACATCACTCCCTACTTTATAGTGAGCGGTGCGTTTATTGGCTTTTTTTTTTTTTTACTGCCTCAGAAGGGGGACACAGTAAATAATATAAAGAAGAATTTGTTTTAGATCATTTTAGTTTGAAATGTGTTTCCACTTTCTCATCTTCTGTCTCGAGACCCACCCATTTAGTTTGCGGCCCCTTTTGAAGGGCCGAGGCCCCCGTGGTTTCGACAAATATCGCCACTTAAACGCCAGAGTTGCAACGTCATGCTCCATATTGTTCATTCCCATACCTCCAAATGTTGTTCTCAGGTGTTTTAAAACAGTAAATCCTTTAACGCAGCATGTGTTACTGATGAAGTTGTGTCAGGACTATTGATAGACCAGGCCTCGGGCTGGACCCACGCTCCACCTTCAAACACCCTGGAGGGGGCGGGGGGGTACTCGGCAGACATCTTCATCCCGGGGAGCTCAGCCGTGGACAACACTGCCTTTCAGTGGCGCAGCAAGGAGCGGCGTCTCCACGGCTGAGGGACACGAGACGCTCTCAACTGGGGGATCCACAGCGACCGTGAGGTGAAGGCCGGAGAGACACCACCTCACGTCCAGCAGAAATGTCCTTTATTCTACTCTAATTATTGAGTTGCGACTTCCATGAATTTTTAATGGTCATGGAATATATATAGTTTACAATTTCATTGAGTTTATCGTAAATACAGCCACAAAAATAAAATTGCTATACATATATATATATAATTGATGAATTATATATATATATATATATATTTTTTTTTACTATTATATATATTTAAAATTAAATTAAAAACATATTTGTCTCTATTATGACAGTTGATGATTTCATTTTAGGAGACAATTACAAGGGGAGGAAAGAGGCTCGTGTGTCGTGTATTTACTGAATAAGTCTTTATTCTTACTCCATCTCTTTCTTTCTCATAATGTATTTTTTGTCTGCCCTTTCCCTTCAATGCTTCAGTAATTCCCCTCTTCATCCTCACTCTCTTATGAACTTCTATTGCTGTTTATAGCAGTCTGGACTCAAACACTTCTTCACTACTGGATTTATCTGCAGATTCCCCCAAGAATTCATCTTTATTCAGTTTATTGTGGAAGTGGTTTCATTCTCTGGTGTAAAAAGCATCGGGATATCATTTCATATAACAATGTGCCGCGCTGCTAATGATTGATAAATACGACTAGTTAGGGAGAACTTCAGGTGGGCGGAGCCGCGTGCAGGTGTCTGCAGGGCGTGCGTGCGGAGAGGAAAGGAAGGGGGGTATCGGGGGGGTAAGCTGACCTGTAATCACCAAGAACAGGGGGGACTTAATGATGTTTTGGTCTGATGATCAAATTTCACATGTTTGCACAATCATTGCGGGGCACCTGCGCAGAATAACCGAGGCAGGGAGGAAAGGCCCGAAGGAACAACTTGTTCCGTGTGTGGGAGTGTGTCTGTGTGTGTGTACGCGTGCGTGTGGACATTATTGGCTTTTTGTGGTGATAATGGTGATACATGCACGCACGGACTCACAAAAGTTTGTTTTCCAGTCTCCTCTTTACTTTGTAACACACACGCGTACAGACACGACGTGAGGCGGATACGTGGATATTTGTCTCCCTCTACTGGTAAAAGTATGTAATGCAGCGTTGCTGCCTTTGGGTGCTGTCTGTACATTTCAACTTACTCCACTATAAAGAGAAAATATGAGCACAATATTGACAAATTCTGGTTAAATTTTTGCAGCAGCAGGATTGAAGAAGAGAGTATTCAACTGTTGTCAGACAGTGAGCACAAATACGCTTTAACAATGTAGTTCTCGTGTGTATATATATTTCACTTCACATGGTTTGCTGCTGTTTGTATTTATTTGGATATGTCACATGTCCATTCCGCCATATATAATCATATAAACCTAAGAGAAATATTTCAAAAAGATTGACTCAATATTCAAAACCAATGTCCTAAAAACCCCGCTGCCGTCACCGTTACCCTGAGAAGCGAATGGGTTTTTTCCTGCAGCACCCGAAGGCAGCGCTCGTGTGTGTTTACGTCTGAGCCGCGAGAAGGATTGTGGGTACAGCATGGGGGTGAGTTGCGTAAAGTTACCAAAGGCAACAGCGAAGCGGATGGAGGCTCCGGGTTCGTGACCCAAACAACGCCGGTACCCCCCCCCACTCCAGCGGCGCAGCCGCCCTCCCTCTCGCGCGCTGTGATGCAGCGGATCATCAGCCTCGCCGTGACGCGCTCCCCCGTCGCGCTCCGCGCCTGGAAGAGGGGCCCGGCCCGCGGGGAGCAGCCGGCCGCGCACCGACAGGGTCCGGGGATGTGCGCCCGTCCCGCGCGTCCTTTCACCGGGCTGCCCGGGCCGGAGGTTGTGCAAGCGGAGGTTCGCGTTCCCCCTGTCAGAAGCACAGGCCGTTCAGCTCGGAGGAGGGGCCGCCGGGGATCCCCGCGGGGGGGCCCGCCGTCTCCGTGGTCGGTATCCCGGACCCCATCACGTGGGTCCGGTGCAGAGTTCTCATGTATCTGGTCGACCTCCACTTCGGGTTTGACATAGAGGAGTTTGAAAAAGGAGTGAAGCAGGTAAACCAAGACCGGAAGTCTACGCATGTCTTTAAACATCCGGGTAACTTTCCTCCACAAGGGAGGATGCGTTGCATCACCAACACGTTATAACACCACCCTCACTGCAGGTGAATAAACCCCCTTCTTCCTCATCCGGTCCAGGCTTTGGTCCACGTCTCCGGCCTGCTGTCCAGCGGCAAATACCACAATCTAGTGGGGATTGTGTCCAGCGAGGTGATCAATGACGCACAAGAATCAAACATCTTTAAGGCTTATAATTTAATAAATCAACAAGTTGGTGCGAATCAATTACCGGCAGCTTTTTCGGTTGTTTCAGACGATCGACTACGTCCAGATGAGGTGCGGGTCTCTCAGCGAGGCTCGGCGACGGCAGCTCGCCGTCACCATGGACGACATCGTATTCGCGCTGCCGGAAGACGTGTCCGTCGTCTTCGACAAACACGGTGAGTTTACGTCCAACGCCCAGAGCGCGAGCGCGCTCGAGCCGCCGATCTGACCTCGCGGGCCTTTGCGTCTTCTTCCCGCCTCGCAGGTAGACAGTTCTGCGACGTGGCCATGAGGTTCTGGCTCCTGTCAACGTACGAAGGGCCCGACGACCCCGAGGGCACCAAGATCTTCCAAGTGGCCCCCAGTGGAGACGGCGGCCCGCAGAGGAGAATAGTGACGGCGGTCTATGAGTAAGCACAGTGAGAAGAAATATTAATACATATTCATTTGTATGATCAGAATACAGACCTTTATAAAAAGTTTATAAATGTTAAATTCTGTCACTCCCGTCGTTGCGATGTTGGTCTAGAGAAGCACCGATACGATTCACCGCCGGAACGGAACGGGTCATAATTCAACTCCCGGTGCGTGTAACAGTCAAAGCCTCTTTCCGCGTCCCGCCGGTAATCCGGTTAGTTGCTGCAGCACATGGGCGGCTGTTCTACCTAATGCCCACCTATCTTGATAGCCACATTCTCCTCCCTATTGTTTCATGTCTGGAAATCCCCTCTGAGAAAAGCCCGTTTGACACTTGAAATGTCATCCCGTGAGGCTGGAGACGCAGTTTGGCAGGATGAGGAGGCTATTTTCAGACAAGGGGAGACAAGAAGCAGGACAGAGTTGAGTGTTTTCCAGGCCGGCTCTTCGTTGTTGTTGTTGCTTTGTTTTTAGTTTTTTTAGTTTTCGGGGATTCATTTTTCCTGCGTTCACTCAGGAGCAGAAGGGCGAGCGTGCACCTGGTCGAGAAGAGTTCACATCGTAGCTCCCGTTAAACACGTCCACCTTTCCCTCCCCAGATTCCACCGAGAGCTGACGAGAGGGGCGTCTCCCGACTGGACCGTCACCACCGTCTGGCACTGGCACTGGGAAGCGGCGGAGTGACGACGCCGCGGGCGGGACGGAGAGTTCGGCTGAATCGGCCCCGTTTGGAGGAGCGTACTTCGGGACGACGCGAAACAGGAGCCAGAGACACGACACCCCGAAGACATCGGGACTTATGGGGACCAATGGCAACTGTTGGTCACATGATGTCAGCAGAGCTATCGCCGTGACAACTATCCACGGGGGAAGGCCACGGAAAGCACCCGAAAAGATCACAAGTGAACCTTCATTTTTTTTTTTTTTGTCAAATCACAGTTCAATCGAAAGAGTTGTGCCAATAAACGGCTTGATCAAATATTTCCCAGGAGCCTTTATTTAAGGAGGTGAGAATTGAAGCCCTCGTCTTCCATAACCGTATTCTCGGCATGCGACACATTAAATATTTCAAGAAGTGCCCGAATTTGTAAAGGTACTTGTAGATAATCCGTTCTCCACAGTAAGCGGCAGGCGCCGAAAACTTCTCTTACCCGCTTTTTACCGATCAAAACAAAGTACTCGGGGGGGGGAGCAGCTTCCCCCCCCCCGTCGCTGCGAGCGAGAGCGACAGATTCCCCCAGAAAGCCGGGGCGCCTGAGCCCCGCGGTCGCTGCCAGGAAGGCGCCGCTCGTCAGAAAGCTCCGGCGTGACAGGCCGCTGAATGCCGCGTGTCATCCCATTCTGCTAAAGCGCGCCGCGCCATCATTAATGTTGACAACATATCTGACAAACAGAGGACTCTCGTCATTAGCGGCCGCTAATTCATGCGTAGTGAAATACGCCGAGGATTATTCTAATTTTCCTGCCTTGCGATTTGTGGTTGGTGGAAGTTTGCGTGGGTTTTTAAATTTTTTTACATTTCCTTTTTTTTTCCGGGAGGCGCATCTCGAGGAGTCTTAATGGGATTAAATGAGTGCGGTTAGCTTAGCACGTGTCAATATGCTCGTGCGTTCGGCGAGAGCACATTAAAGAAAAATTCACCACGCCTGTGCGTCACTCAGTTTAATGGAAATTAACAGCAGAACAAAAACACATGGTGAATGTACAAAAAGCTAATGGTATTTTTTTTATTAGTTATTTCTCTGTTTTGTAATCAGGAGGCGCGTGCTGCGGGGGAGGCGGCGTGCCGAACCGTTTCATTAATCTGGTTAGCGAAACAGATTGCAAACAATTCCCCGTCCCTCTTTGGAAGTCTGCGTTTGTCTCGGCTCCAAGACGCCGCGGATTAATTTCTCCATCCCAGTCAGTCTTCCCGTTTCCAGGTTGATTAATAGAATGGCGAGATGAATGCGCCTGCACGTCAAACTCTGACCGAGGAAACGATGAAGGCGGGAGGAGCGTAGCTCTCGGTGTTTACTGAGGGCGTCAGCTGTTACTGTTGTTGTCCAAAGCAATCAACTAAAGACGCGACACCGGTTCACAACAGCTTCGGTGAGCCGACTGAAGACGACGCGAGATGTCGACAAGACAAGTGAGCTGTTGCCGAGCGTGAAATTCTATTTTTCATTTTGATGTACGTTGATGCTCTAGCAGACGTGTAATTGGAACACTTTGTGTTGCACGTTTACCTCCTGAAGTTGTGGCGTTATTAATATTTTGTGTTGTGACTAATTGAATACTTATTGTCTGTTGTGTTTTTGCACAGAGATCAAAGAAAACAAGAACTAGTTTCCATTTTAATTTGTATCTCACCTTTTATATAATCATTCATTTTCTGTTTGCTATTCAGTCTCATGTGCAGGAGATTCTCCTGTGACGGTTTGCATTTTCCAAATTAGTTTTGATGGAAAACGTTCTAATATTCAGGAACAAAGACTTTTTAAAAGTAAGTTGGGAAACAGAATGTGTGATTTCAAAAGCTCACTTGAATCCATCAGAGAACATATTAACGACAACCAGAAACACGTCGTGCTTTGTTCCAGAAAAAGGCAATTCTTTCATTTTCCTGCATAATGATGTGAAAAAATGTGCACCTGGTTGTCTAAGATGAAAAGCCGCCGGTGCACCTGACAGGTAATGGTTTATTTATTGGGTGTTAAATGTGCTCCGTAATGCGTTCCCGGCTGCTTTGCACACTGCATGTGATTCATCAAACAAGTCGCACATGTTTCCCTTCAACAGATTCATAACCATGATCATGATAGAGTACACGTCTATTAGCAGCAGTGAAAGCACAAATGCGTACGTGCAGACTCTATATTCCCCGTATGAAGTCACCGCTGACCTAAAGAAGATTTGAACTCAACTTGTTTCTTGGGAGTTGTCGTTTTAATGCAAGAATGCAGCTCCTGGAGGAAGGCAGAGCTGAATTTGTTCATTCAGATGGAAGCAGTTGAGTTTATAAGAACAACGATGGAATGACAACTTTTATTTTTTTTATTGTTCTGGATCCCCATTTGCAAAAGGTCTTAAACGTTTTTACTGAGATTGTCCACCATGGTTGTCATGTGAACACTCAAGCTGCCACAGTTCCTTTTCAGACGAGGATTTACTCCGACGTAGCTGGAAAACATTGTGAGAAAGAAGAAGAAGAAGATGTACAGTAAGTGAGTGGAAAATGCATTATCCTCAAATGGGAAACGTTAGGACGTTTAGTGGAGATATCACGAACATAACGGTGTCCATCGACACAAACCTCCCCGGCCGGATGCTTCAACGTCTCTCCAGAAACATTAGAACACACATTATTAATGACCTCTAATCAGTGAAGAGGATCATGAGAATGTTAATACAAAATAAATGGATATAAAGGATTTCACTTAAAATGTGGCCACGCTACACCTGTGAGATTGGTGTTTTTTAGCTGCAATGGAGCCGCGCTGCAGTATCTATGGAGATATAATTACCGCTCTCCTTAAAAACAACTGCTAGTCATTGAACTGCATAGAACATATTTATAACACTAGCATGACTTTTACAGCTCTAGAAAAAGTGACTTCTACTGCACTCACAGGTTTTGTATGTATTTACCCACATTAAATGTTATTCTGTCATTTAGTGACACTGCACTGCTACCTGCTTAAGATCAGAAGACTTAACAGGCCGGAGCGTGACGTGTCACAGAAGACACTATAAATTGGTTTAAGTTGAAATGACTTTTAGAGTGAGACAGTATCGAGACATCTGCACACATATTTCTGACTCACAGGATTCAGGAGGAGGAGGTCTTGAAGCGGTTTAGGGATTGGCCGGGGTCGCCTGGAGGTCATCCGGATGGCTCAATGGGCCCCAGGGCCTCGGGCTTAATTAAGGCCCGAGTGGCAGGAAGCTGTGCCGGATTGGACCGAGGAATAAAAAGAGCCTCCACATGGAACCTCTGAATCATCCCAATGCAACCAAACAATCGTAACTGCAACGCTTTGACTACCATGACTTAAATAAGGTCGGTCTTTTATTGCCAAATTTTCTCTGCAGTGTTGTGAAGTAGTCTGAAATACTTGTACCTGTATTTTAATTGAGTCCCTGAGACACGAGGAAACACATTGAAATTTCTAGATTGCAAATCAAATCTGAGCATTTGTCGTAATGCGTTGCTCTCCACCGCTGTTGGGCTTCTTGTCCTTCCAGGACTCCATGAAGTTGATCGGTCCGTCCTCGGCCGTGTCACAGTTTTCCTTCCCGCCGTCCGGCTGGAACCTGTGACACACTGCCTCTGTCAATCATTCCCTTGACCGCCTGGCGATTTACAGTTTACATAAACAGACTCACTCACGAAAACAAACTGTTGTCGTTGAGCCGTTTGTGAGGCGATTACAGATGTATTGCTACTCGGCCGTGTCTTATCCCGAGCCCTACAACTGGCCTTTTTCACAGGAGACACTTGGACTTGTCAAACACGGGCGGGACCAATGAGTCATAGTCAGTGGCAGGGCCGACATTCAATGTGTTCATTCGTTGGGTTTATTACACCTGTGTTCTCCTGATATGACGGCGATGAAGTGAAAATGTCAACTGGGAGAAAAGGACTATGTGCTTTTTCACCTATTTAACTTTAATGCATGAGTATCAGCCAACCGGCAAAGTACCGGTAGTCTTTAAATTGTAACTCTAACGTTCGTCTTCTCTACCAACGAAAAGGTTCTCTTAACGTCAGCACCAAATAAAGCACCTTCTATTTAGTTTTTTTTGGTGTCAAGTTTCATTAGATATGTTAACACATGTTAAAATAATTAATTAAATTGGGCAGGTTCTCTAAAATAATAGTAGATGGATAAACAATAGCATTATCTCGCTGAAAGTCTGCATAACATTTTATATTCTACGCCCAAAATTCTTTTAGGCGCATAACGTCACCAGCGCGCTGGGAATGAATCCTGGCCTGTGATTGGTCCGCAGCACCTGTACGCAGAGGGTTTGTCAACTCCAGTCGTACGATCTGTCATCATCCTTCGCACAATGCAGAAAGGGAAGTTGTAATAAGTGGGTTGAGGGACATCGCCGAGCCGTATGAAACCCAATGTTACGGTAGCCGGCTGGGCGAGCGACACTCCGAACGGACACTGACGCGCCACAAAGACAACATTCACCGCAGCTAGCTTTCTCCTTGTTGGTAGGTGAGTGGCTAACGTTAGCGAGCTAGCGAGCTAATGGCTACCCGGAGGGCTCCTCCCGGCGCGGCCGCAGCTAAACACCGTTCTTCTGGCTGCGTTCACCAGACCGGCGTCTTATCATCTGGCTTGCTAACGGTAGCTAGCTGGCTAGCTAACGTTGGCTAGCCGACCCTGGTAGGGCCAAGCTAGGTAACGTAATCGTTGTATCTCACCGTCTGGATGTTAACGTCGGTGAATCCGGCTCATTCGTCACGTTTAAATTGCCCCCTTTCCCTAAACTACGCGCAGTGCAGCGAACAACTGCGACTCTCTAACGCCGTTCGACGAGGGAGTTCCCTAAATGAACGTCATGCAGCTAACACCAGCTAGCTGTCACTAGCGGTACACACCCCAAACGGCATCATCTGTCTTCATTCTCCAACGTAATGTAACGTTGGTTAAATGTCGGCGTTTAGCCGGCGCGTGCGTCGCCGCGCAGGTACGCGGCTGTGTTTTCTCAAACGGGAACTTTAGATATTCGGTGCCGCTAACCGAGTTATTTTGAATCTACTCGGTTAGCTCATCCGCTAACTGTGGCTATGGTTAGCTTGCTAATTGGAGTCAGTCAACAAAACAACATAACAGGTTATTTGTGGTTAACTCTGTGTCGTAATGCGATTCCGAGGCAGCAGACGGTAATTATGTTTCATTGGCAATCCCACAGGTGTACTGACGAGAGGGGTTGTGTTTAATATGGTTGATGTTTTTATTTACCTTTTTGCATCAACAGACAGGGTTATGCAGAAAGCTGCCTGGGACTTATTTCCCTGCATGTGCTCAGATTCTATTGACGCTCCGTTTCGCATCGTGTGAATCCGCCAGCAGGATTTGCCCTTTTCTCCTCACAGGTACACGAGTCGCTCAAAGACATTTCTAGATGTCCTAGTTAAATTAAAGTGCAGAGAGGAAAAGTGCTCATCCAAACGCCAGTGCTACCTGTTTGTTATTGTGACTACTTTGTGGGGGGGAGCGTGTGGCTCGTAATCTGAAACTCGTGTTGACGTTGTGTGTAGTTACCTACAGTACATTTCCATTCTTAGTCATTATCATCAGTTACATATCTGTGCTCTGTCGAGAAGAAAACAGGTTGGAAGAAACCAGCGTAAAACCATGACAAAATATTGCCTCCATTCTATAATCAAAGTATGCACAAACATTTTAGTTTTTAAAAGAAGTTTATTCTGCTTGTTCGACGATACTTGAAATCCGCCAACCTCATAATTGTTATTTTAATTTGAAAAGTCACATGACGTATAGTGTGATTTATATTTCTGTTTCTTGACTGTACTAGATCGAACAGTGCATTCGTTAGTTGTTAGTGGCCAATTTACATATGTTAATTATTAACTATGTTTAAGGCCCTTTTGCTGCAGAGAAAATACTTACTAATGATAAATAAGTTAGCTCTTTTTCCATTGCTTTTGAAACTAAATAATTCATGAAAACAGTTTGATCTGATCATCTGTGTTTGCAGACAATGTCTAGCTAGTTCCCTCCTGATTTTGTTTCTTTTATGTGACACTTTATTTTTCTCTCTCTCTCCTCCTCAGATATTTTCTACAGTTTTTCACAGTAAGTCAGCTTCCAGAAGAAGAGCCTGTGAAGTGTGACATGGCAAGTAGAGGCGGAGCTACACGACCCAATGGGCCAAACGCAGGCAACAAGATCTGCCAGTTCAAACTTGTGCTTTTAGGAGAGTCAGCTGTGGGGAAGTCGAGTCTCGTACTTCGATTCGTCAAGGGGCAGTTTCACGAATTCCAAGAGAGCACGATCGGAGGTACGTGTCTTTGTGAACAGTCCCTTTAAAATTGTATGCGAGGACTGACATGCGTTTGTTTACCTTGTCACAGGGAGACTTGAGACGATGAGTCACACAGTGGAATGAGCATTTGAATATGTAGATCATCTTAAAGGGCGGGGTACAAACATTTGGCTTTTCTATCCTGAAGAGACCCATTTACAGTGTATACCTAAACAAGTGGGACAAAATCAGCATATGTGGTGTCAAATATAGGAAATAAGAGCAGAGCAAATTGGTAGAAGGGTTGTTTTAAGTTAGCGAGAGGAGCATGGGGGAGAACAATATTTGATTTGCGTGAGAAGATAAGGAAATGAAGAGCGGAGTGAGAACTTGAGTGTGAGAGAGGCCAAAAGGGAACAGAGAAGTGCAGGAGCTATTAGGTAAATTCCTGGGCAACCTTATCTACTTCCTGGTTTGTCCGGCTGATTACACTGGATTAAAGCAGTCAAGTTATTGACCTACATGCTGCTGGCTGGATATCATGTGGTTGGTTAAGCGGTACGATCCCCAGAAGGGCAAAGATGAAGTTCTAGGTAGTTTCCAACGCGGTGTATGTGTGTAACTGAGTAAATGTCAACGGGGAGTTTTAAATTCTAATAAATAAAAAGTGCCCCAGTGGATCCCACCCCAGATAACGACTCCAGCTGTCTCCTCGTTTCCTCGTTTCCTCCACTTTGTGCAGCCGCCTTCCTGACTCAGACGGTATGTTTGGACGACACAACGGTCAAGTTTGAGATCTGGGACACGGCCGGCCAGGAGCGCTACCACAGCCTGGCCCCCATGTACTACAGAGGGGCCCAGGCCGCCATCGTGGTCTACGACATAACAAATGAGGTGAGTCTGGTCGCCAGCTTTTCCCACCGTGTGCCGTCGGCGTCTCTCCCTCTCTCTCAGAAACATTGTTGTGTATGAGGGAGATAGAGCGGGGGGATGGAGGGGGGGGGAATCAGCCTAAAATGTTCTGCAAAGAAAGGAACCCTTGTTTTGGTGTCTTGAGTCATCTTTTATAACACTGTTTGTAGAGAAGTAGAACAAATACATCAGTGACTTGAGCGCCGCGGGTTATACACGACAACCTGTGTAGTTACAAAGAATATATTGTACTTTGAAAACAACCTGGTCTCTATATTCAAGACTGAGTGTATTTTATTTTTGTGAATTGTACTCGAAAGATGGTCACACAAATCGAATGAATGAATGTTTTAGAAAAGGTGAGTCGTGTCGCCTGTATGACCCCCTAATGGCGGTATCCTGCATTCCAAAGCTTTGTTAATTGTTCCTCTGTTAAATGTTGATCAGACGCCTGAGAGGCTCCTTGTCCTCTTTCTGTCACATGGGTCTTATTGTTATTAGCACTAACCAAGTTGCCCCCCCCCTCCCCCTTTCTCTTGCCAGGAGTCATTTGTACGGGCGAAGAACTGGGTTAAAGAGCTTCAGAGGCAAGCCAGTCCGAACATTGTAATCGCTCTGGCTGGGAACAAGGCTGATCTCGCAAACAAGAGAGCACTGGACTTCCAGGTTTGTGTTCCTTTGGATATTTTGTGCAAACAGAACCAGGCCCGTTGGAGCCAACATTAAAGATTCACAGCTGATCCTTCCGCCACCTGGAGTTGAACCACGCAAACGGAAAGTCACTTCAAAAACTGATCTCCTGTTGGTTTCACTCCAATAGGATGCACAGTCATACGCAGATGATAACAGCTTGCTCTTCATGGAGACGTCGGCGAAGACCTCTATGAACGTGAACGAGATATTCATGGCCATCGGTGAGTCTCTCCCACCTTCTCTTTAGTGGAAGCACCAATGTCCCGCCCACCTGTAGACAGACAGCGGTGCATTCAGGCTGCTTGCTTCAACTCGTAAATTCGGGGGTTTGCGTGCTGGTGATTGGGGTCACTGATGAACGATGAACTGGACCGATGGGGGAGGGGGGGACTCACAGCAGGATATGAATAATGGAGGCCGGGTTAATACTGGAAGGAAATGTCACAGCCCATAATGTTCAGTGAGTACTTTTTTTTGCAAACCTCCCGGTGGTTGTTGAAGTAATGGGGCTTTTTGTCAGACCTGGTTCTGTCTGGAAGGGACGGAGTCTCGGCCTCCAGCTGGTTTAGAGGACACTGTGTCCTTTGAGGAGCGCAGCCCTTAAACCGAGATGCAGCATCTGAAAGCTGAAGTTCTTTGATTTTGGAGAACACTGCTTTCTGGCATTAAGCAGTTGCGAAGAAGGCCCACAGGCCTCAGGTGTGGCACGTGTACTCCACCCATACAGGTTCTTTCACTTTGGCGGATGATGCTTTTTCTTGAGAACAGATGTGCTTGATTGACAGCTCTCCACCGGTTGTAGTGGAATGTTGTAAAAAGGTTGACAACTCTATTTGCTCCCAGCAAAAATAATTTACTAAATGAAAATCCTGATGTATTAAGAAATGACTGAGACCATAAACTCCTGTTTACAGTGTTCACTACTATCTGACTTTTATACCCAACCACGGGAGTCGCCCCCCTTACGTTAGAGAGAGTGCACGTTAAAGGCGCTTCACTTCGCATGTTGACCTGTTGATGTCCCAGAGAATGTCAGAGAGGTGGAACAGTGACGTGGACGGCAGAATGGGACCAGAACAAAGTCACTGCATACTTTCTGGTCACTTCCTCACTGATTTAGAAATGTTTCCATGTCATTGCAGCAAAGAAGCTTCCCCAAGAACGAGCCCCAGGCGGCCGGAGCCAACAGCAGGGGGAACCGGGGGGTGGACCTGACGGAGACGGCTCAGCCCACCAGCCGTTCCTGCTGCAGTAACTAACTCTTCCTGCTCCAACCCCCCCCACACACCTCCACCCCCACCCCCACGCACGCACACACACACACACGTCCCTCCTCTTCAACCCCCCCTAACTGAACATCTGGACATCAGGCTTCCTGACGTCAGCCCCGACCGTCAAGTTCGCTCCCTGGGAAAAGACTCTGTATAGCTGCATTTCTAATACCTTTTTTTGTTTTGTTTTTGTCCATGTTCCTTTATTTTATTCTTGAAACTTTTTTTAAGAAGAAGTGTATATCAGTATAATGGATGCATGTATCACTACAACGCCTAAAACACATTCTTATCTCTTAAGTTGGAAGACTAACCCGTGATGCGGGTGCGATTTGTGTAAATCTCCATGCGCGACCCGCCGCCGGGGCGACGGGGGGGGGCGTGGCCTCATCGGTTCACCTCACAGGGTCGACTGGTGCGTGCGTGCCGAGCTACGCTCACAATCAGAAGAAAACCAAACGGTTTCGATGCGTTGAGACGGACTGTTGTGCAAACAAAGATCCCTCCCCCCCTCCGCCTCCCCACCCCCCTCCTGTCACCCTCCTTCAAAGCTGTTACACAGGAAGACATCCGAGGCTCCCAAAATATATCTGTTATGGTTTTTTTCCCTCATTTTTAAGCACACAAAAAATACAAAAAGGTCTGAGTTTAACGAAAACACATCTAGCTTCCTTTCCCACGTCGCCGCACGTCAACAACGCAGGAACATCGGCAACCGACGGCTTCGGCCTTCGCAGATTGTAACTAAATCCTTATGAGGTTCATCGGCGAGTCGATCACAGACGTCCCGTTTCCACGCGGATACGACTTGACGTGGAGAAGAAGGTCGGCTGGAAACCTGCAGACGGTTGAGCGTCGCGCCCTCTGAGCCGCGTTAAACCCGTGTCTCTGCTCGCCCAATACTCCACCTGCTTCGATTTGGGTGGGGGAGGTGGGGGTGGATTGTTTTCTTTTTTTTTTTTTGAATCCAGTTCAGACCGCACACAAAAAGAATATCTGACTACTGTGGAAACAAATATATACTCCAATGTTGTTATACGGTGCAATGTTGTCTTCTCCCCCCTATAGCACAGCTTGCAGAGCTCACAAGGAAAGCGTCTAGAGATTCCGAACAATTGTACAGTTCAATATAGCTCTCCTGTTACCTTGTTTCCTTCCCTTCGTCGTAGGCCGTGTCAACAACTGGTCTGACGTTGAGCGGTGGTGGTCTCGCTCTCTTAGGTATTTGTAGGGTTGTAAAACAAAACCTCTCTCTGGTGTCTGATTATTTTTCCCAGAAATGGTCCATGGTCACGTTTGAAAGAACCTTTTATTGCATTGCACAGTTTTGATCATGTTTTAATTAATGACTTGCCCTTTGGTTTTATATGACGGGTTGTATTGGACTTGGCTAACCTACAGCTATAAGCGGGTAGCATAATTAACCTTACTGGTGGTCTCTTACAGCTTAATGAATTTTAATGATGTAAAACAGCATTACTAGTGATGGGCTGATCAGTTTTGAGTGTCTGAATACAACTTAATAAATTCAGTAAAGAAGTCTCTTGTATGCCTTTTTGCTCATCCACAGGATGCTTCTCATCCTGTGGATGAGAAGTCCAGATTCTGCTCTATAAAGAACGAAAACGAAACCCTCTTGTATCTGCCTCTCCTCTGCTGCTGGCTGTGTTTCTCCTGTGAACCCTCAGCAGGGCCGATCACGCGTTTGGCCGATACTCAAACATCAGTGCGCAGATGATGTGCTGCTCCGGTCGAGTGTCTTTACAACCTCATTAGCCGCCTCCTCGTCCGCCCGACGGACAGAGGAGTCCTGAGGAGACGTGACCCAATAAACACACGTCTCCTTCTCTTCATCCTTTATGTCCTTTTCAACTTACTTTCTTTTTTTTCTTCCTTTTCTCTGATGATATCTAGTCAGGGTAACGGAGAATGAGATTTAGCTCTCGGTTTCAACAGCCTTGGAAGAGCGTTCCTCACGGAACATCGCTTCCCCCGAGCGGTGCAGTTCGCCGATGGATGAGCGACTGGTCGCTGTTGCTAGGCCTGTCGAACGTGCGCACCGTGCATGTCCACATGCAGTTAAACCATTTGAGAGAAGAAAAGAAGATTTATGAACTAGTGGAGCATAATGAGCAAGTGCCACGTTCCCCAAATCACAACTTCCAAGGACAAACATCCAGGATGAGCAGCATAACTAAAAGCAGCTAACATTTAAAAAAGTGACGTTGCACGGTTTAGAAATATGTCTAACGAATGATTTTTACACACCTTTGTCTAAGTTGTACATCTTCCCCACGTTATGTACTTTATGGTACAACTGCTTCACAGTGCGATACTTTATTGAGTTTTATGGTTTACAAACTGCTTACAAATTCAGAGGGATCTTTACTGGTGAATATTTGATTTTGTTGAGGGCCGTTATGGCAAAAAAGCTTTCTTATCTCCAGGTTGACCCGTGCACGGACTGAACCACTCATCCCGCTGTGCACCATGACTACGTGTAAAACAACAAAGCTTGAGTCTGTCCGAAGATATAAAAGTATTTTAAACCACATTCAGTAGTTTCCCTGGCAACAAAATCCATTTTGGATTTGTGCAGGTTGTGACTGCCTGCAGGCTGCCAAAGAAGTGGGAACAAAATGTGTTTTATGTAGTGAAAAAACTGAAAAATTAGGTGTTTCAAAGTGTGGAAATTGTTGACGTATCAAATGATTTCATTACTCAAACTTCCTGCTCTTTGTGGTCGTAACCCGTCAGAACGCTCCCTTCATTGACGGAGCTCCTGAGGTGGAGGCGTAAAAAGCTGCATTTTGAAAGAAATGCACTAAAAAAAATAACACTTCCTTTGTGTGTCAACTTTTCCTTCAGCAGCACATCAGAAGGTGATGACACAATGTTTTTAAAATGTCAAGCACTGGATGTCCGATTGATTCATTGCGATCTGGAAATCTCACGTTTCGATTATAAATTCTCAAGGCAGATGTCTGTTTATTGTCCCTGGATCAGCTCCAGTTTACACTTGAGGGACAGAAACCGTTCAGGAGAAGCCGGTCATCACTAATTCCCATCTTCATTATCTGTAATGGGTTTTTTACACGTTTCTTGCAGCTTGCAGGTGCATTTAAGTACATTCAGTTGAAGGGCGAGTGATAATTCACACACAGGTTTGTGACTCGATGACTTTCGTCTGGTGCTGAAGCATCACCTCATGTGACAGACTCCCCCCTGCGAGGCCTTCTGAACCAAGACTGAAACCTACTCCTACAGGAGAAAATACACTTGCTGTCCGAGCCGTGTGCACTCCACCAAGCATAACTGGCTTTTGGTATTTGCAAACTGAGCACTCGGTATTTGCAAATGCATTTCCCTCCGACTGCAATGTGGGGGCAGCAGTGCACTGCGGCAACAGCGCTCCGCCGGGGAAAAACCTAGAAAACAACATCCATCACACACCCTCTTAAAAAACTGGTGCATTTGCACTTCAAATGTTGACCCGCTGGATTGATAACAACTTTTCACGGCACATCGGTTTCACCGCCAACTACAAAGGAAATCTCGAGTGATTCAGCATTCCATTTTCACGAAGTCGTTCATTTGAAGAAAGGGAAAAATAATTGGGTTGACCAAGAAATCAAAGGGAGATGTGCACAGGTGAGACACATGGAGAGAAGTGAACGCCACGTCCTCCAGGGGAAATCTGACGTTTACATTACGGCCATCAATCTGCATCAAATTTGGGTTCTCTGTCCTTTACCACATCTCGTTTCGTTCAATCGACTTCTGCAAACACCACACCGGGTGCATTTCGTCCACGCCCGACCTGCAGGCGGATGAGGGGGCAGAGGGAAGCGGTTACCACAGCGACAAGCACTTTAGCATCCCCAGCTCACAGGCCCGTGTGGCTGATTGTTATCTAATCCACCCGCCGGCTCACACCTGTTTAGTATACAGGTGATGCTCTATGCGCGTCGGAAAATAACATTTTCAAACAAGGCTTTGATGTTGTGTATTGTCCTTTTGATATTTCATACCCAGGTATTGCAAAAGCAATGAATGGTTGCAGATCCTCTCTTTACATTGCACATATTCTGGAGGTGTGGAACTTCTACACGTTCCCCCTGTAAATATGTTTGGAACGCATCCATAAGTAAATATACATATCCACATATCCATGTTTGGAACGTATCCATCAGTACGGCTCTTTTCATTTCAGATACACACATACAGGGCGGTAGTGCATCTACCTACACGCGCGGATGTAAATGAGCACGGACGTCGGTGGCCTCGGAGGGAGCAGAAGCGCAAACTCTTGGAGCTCGAGTGCAGCTCGCCTCTAAACGAGCCGAGCTGAAAATAAGCCCAATAAGTCTTGAGCAGGAGATAAAATCGTCCCTGAGCCGAGCGTTCACTCTGAAGGGCTCCAGGAAGGTTGTATTAAGAGATTGTGATCTTCCAGCCACCAGCAGCTGGCATGCCACCAGATAATGTACCGTCCGCTGCCTCCAAAACTCCTCTCAGCGATGCGATCCCTCCGTTCGGCCTAAATTAAAATGCTCGCGCGGTTCCCGGAAGTGTTTAGCATAGCCGTGCATTCTGCTATACGAGCCGCTCGTTGTCGTGGAAGCTCACCTTCTACCACCTCCCCGTCCTTGAACGTGATGCGCGTCCACACACGGGCGCTGTGCGTTTGTTTCCTGCTGCGTGTTGTTCATCAAGGTCAAAATATCCGCCTCACTTCACTGACACCAGTTTGAGGAAGTAATTAATGGCGCCATAATTGATGGCGCCCGTCTCATGAGCAAGGAGATTACCAGGAGAGGCGAGGTCACTCTGTGAGGTTTGCGGCCACCTGCAGTACAGGGCACTTTACGCCAAGCTAAGCTATGCTAAGCTAAGCTAAGCTAACCAGCTGCTCACATTTGAAGGGCAGACTGAAAGTGGTCTAAAGAGTGCACTTTTCAAAATGTTGCTTTCGGGACTCCATGCGAACGATTACTTTCCACCTGCAAAACAACATGGCCGCGTTGTAAATAGTGGACTACAATCGCCATCGGAATCTGAAGGAGATGAACAGTTTAATGGCAGCAATGATTTTCTAAGTCAGCTGCTTGGCGTGAGTCACAATAACAGGAGATGACAACGCTGTCTATATTCATGAGCACTTTGATGAAACAGCTGTCAGCCGAGGCCTTGGAATGTTTTGGATTGCTGGAACAGGGATACACGGACAATGAGTCCCAGAGTTTAAGAGCCAGATGCAAGCCGGCGTCTGACAGCGAGACACTTTACGGCCTGAGTTTTTAAATTCTATCACACGGACGGGCGAATTATGTTTTCTTTTTTTTTCTTAAATTCAAGAAAATTCTGAAAAATCTGTCAAAAGTTTGATACAATATATTAATAAACAAATTAAATCAGGAAGGAAATATATTTCAAAAGGCTTTTCATTTTTTTTGACATTACCGGACTTTTACTTAACAGTAAACATAATTACCACAGCAGCTTGACGGCTTTGTCCCTTGTATTTAAGCATATAATACTATTATTTCCATCATCACAAACTGATACAACACATTAAATCATACGTCTTTGTTGTTTTTTTAGATTGACCCCTTTAGGTCGTGTTTGTGACGAGGCGTGAAGCTCGTGAGCGGATGAGGTCAAGAGAAAGCCGCTGCTAGGTGGCTCGGAAAGGATTTAAAAAAAATACACATTTTGTGTCCTGGTTTATATTCAAAGACATTTTATAATATCAGTTACAGCTATAGGCTGCTTAACATTTTTTAAAAACATTCAAAAGTTAAGTAAGATGTTTTTTATTCCTTCATTAAAGTGTCATGTTGAATACAACTTCCTGTCGAGTTGCCATCCGCCTCGTATTTAGTTTACTGCATATTACAGAAGGTTTCCTACTTTTCCTTCATCCAAAGAAGTGTTGACAGAGTTCTTTAGAGGCTTCAACGACAATCTAGCCTCAGAGACCTTTTTTGGGGGGTTTGGAATTCATTTGCAAAGCGGCCGCAGCCGAAAGGCCTTTTGCCCGCAGCCCAACCGGCCGGTCACAAGGACTCAGTGAGATGCGTCCTTCAAACCTCAACAGGTCCTTGAGAATATGCAAAGCTAATGGGTCCAGTAGTAGGAAAGGAATGCAATATAATGTCATTGATGTAAACACCACTGTGTGTTTGTTCAATATTTGATGTCCCTGTGGGGAAATAGATCTATTCACACAGTCACCTTGAGGGGACTCGTCTTTCTTTATAAAATGTGCATGTGGGTGTGTGTGTGTGTGTGTGTCCTTTAAGAAAGTCTCAACCTCTGAGCTCTAAACCTATTTTGAGCTTCAGTGAGTCACTCAAAAAAGTGTTCTGAGAGCAACCGGTGCTCAGACCTTTCAGTGCCTCCTCTCTCGTTAAATCTTTATCTTTTGTTACTGAAGCCTAAAAGCCTTCTGTAAAAAATAAAACCTAAAACCAGCTCGCTTTTATTGCAGACGTCGTGTCAAATCCACAGGCGGCACCGCGTTGCCCGCGAGCCACGTTCTTTTGTAGGGAAGTGAAGATGTCAAAGGACTTAAATGGACAGGAATGTTGATGGAGGCATTTACCGCCGCGTTGGATCCAAGCTTCCACCCGGGACGTGTGAGGCGGGCGGTCGGGGGCCTGCACGGTCCCGCCGGGAGTCCCGAGGGCACCGTCAGCGCGGCGCACGACGAGCATCTGTTACGACGTCTCCTTCAGGGGTTCCTCTCCGAAGGAGACGGACAACTGTTCTCTCGTTTATGTGAAACGTGCACGAGGCGATGCATCTCACAGGCGGCCTGCAAAATAATTCAACAGCGGTTTTGTTCAAAGCTGCAGATGGCTGCAGTTCTGTTTGGCAACTGATGAGCTATATGTTCAACATTTAAAAAGATGACGTCTGTTGGCCAGTATTATAAAAACAGAGGTCAACACAACCTCTATGTCAACGAGTCAAACATTCACACATATGAGTAGAATGGTGCTTGTTCCAACCAGGTAATGAGTAAACAATGTGCCACTTTTGTCCCGTTGTTGTACTGTTTGCTTTGGTGTATCAGGGAAGGACATTTTGGATCGTAGGAGCAGGATATGTCACGTGATGAAGTTCCGTGACAACACACTTGACGAAAAACAATCCTTTTTTTGTTCATAACGAGCTGTTATGTTAGTGGGATACAGCTTCATCAGGCCTGATGATAATGGCACACAGGTTTTGCCCATTAAAAGTAAATTCAATTTAAAAAACATTATTTTGCAACAGTTCAGTTTTCCCATAAATATACCCGAGGAAACAGTATTTTTTCCACTTCCTTCTGTTTTCTTACCGGCTCTTTTAAATGATATAAAACCTTAAATCTCTGCCAGTTGTGCCCCTAAACATCTTGATGTTTCGATGCATTGGCAGTTCATTTCATGCCATCGTTCAGACTGACATCACGTCGCTGTTGGCTTTGCTCTGTTCCGGGAGAGTTGTGATCAGATATTATTTTCCGGAGGCCGGGATCAGTGCAGCGAGGCATAATATTCTTTTTAAGTTAATCAAAGAAAAATAACACATTTTGAAATATTCTTCCTTCAGTCCGACGGGAGCAGCTGCGTCGACCTCATCTCAGCTTGTTGCCATGTGGCTTTTTTTCGGTGCTCTCGCGAATCCACGATGGACTTGTTTTTTAGAAGAGCCATCAATCAGGGGAACAAGTTGGTGTGATTTCAGCAACATGAGCGAAGGTTACATTCTTACATTTATTAGCCGATTTCCGAAAAGATAATTTTGATGAACGTTTCTTCTAAAAATATGTTAATTGGACCATTTCCAAAATAACAAACTTTTCTTTCTCATTTTAATTTCATCTTTGGCGTTTAAAATGTATTACTTTTACATTGCTCCGCATTAATTACGCAACAATTAAAAGCTGCATTATTCACCGCAGCGTGTTTTTTAATTATTCCTTAAATATTCTATGAATTGTTGTAGAAAGGGGATCACACAATAGTGTGAAATATATATTCACACTATTGGTTACAGATTTCTTTCTTTACTGATCTTTATCCCTATTGTGTTCATTGTCTTCTGACAGGCTTTCGCTTCGCTCCGTTTCATCCTCCTCCTGGTGATGATCCGGGTCGCACTCGGGCCTAATCTGCATTCCGCTGCTCGCCTTCGCTTGGACGTCCTGCTGTGCACGGCGAAGGATAAAGGCAGTGTTTTTCTCCTGAGCTGCAGACAGAGACGCTGAGCGACCCACTTCGCAGATGTTGGTGATCATCGCTCCGGCGAGATTAAGTGGAAGCTCGATGGGGCCCAGAGAGTCTGTATTGGTTTTTGGAGATTGAGCAACGCAAAAGAGGCTCCCTCATCTGGCTGCACGGCCATCTTTCATCCCTCGGGGAGTTGGGGGGGGGGGGGGGGGCTTAGATGTGCCACACAGAAAGGATGGATGAATACGTTTAAGGGTTTGTGGGAAAGTTCAGCTGAAATATGTACTGCGTGAGTTGTGGTGTTGTGGCGAGTTGGAGTCCCTCCAACCGGCTTTGGTCAGTGATGTTGTTTCCCAAATGAAGAAGACACCATGGGGGTATTTATGGTGAAGTGCTTCTCACGTCACATTTGCTTTTGATAGAAACGGCTGCAGAATAATGGTTCCATCACAGTCTCGTCAGTTAGTTGCCGACGTGCTGCTGACCTTTATTTATTCTGTTTGCGCATCAACGCTGAGCGTAACCAGTCAGGCTCACTTACGGCTCTGACAGGTCCAGAGAATTACAGCACAGCTTATTGTTCAGAGGAAAGCACGTGAAGAAACTACCCCGACCGTTGTCTCGAGATAGCGGAATGTTTTCATGTAGTCGAGCCAAAACAAATCTCACAGACCGGCATCGCTGATGGACGAGGGTCCCGGTTACTGTCAGCAAATACCGTCTGAACCAAAGTATGATTGAAGTTATTCTTGGCAGTTTATTTATTTCAAATGATGTATAAATGAGATGTATTGCTACAATATTAACATATCACAATCGATTAACGTGTTCTTTTTCCACGAGGATTCTTGAAACACTATTACGCTTTGAAGTAAAGGGAGGTGAAGTAGTACAGTCGCTTCCTCGGCCGCTGCTGAGCGATCTGCTGCGTTATTATTCCAATAGGCGATCTGTCATTCAGTAGCATAGTGTGAACGCACCCAAATGTAATACATTTAACACTTCTAATGCACACATCTGTTCTGCTTGCTCATCCTGGTTATAAACGATATGAGGCTGCAAATAGTTTAAGATTCACATCAGGGCTATAGAGGACTTTCTATATTGCACACGCTGTGATACAGATATGGACAGAAGGATCTTCTGCATCATGCTTTGTTTGTGGTGGAGATGCATTTGTGTTTCGATGTTTCGATTTATTCTGAAATGTGTAAAATTTGATGCACATTTTCATATACTGGATTGGGGGATTTCCATGTCCAAAATGATCATTCATACTGTATGAACTGAAGTACTGAACTAAATACACGTCACCAGCATTAACAAATTAGGACTCTTTTTATTTGAAATTATTCACCTTTTACACACATTTGACGGTTACTATACACAAGCCTTTGTGGTCCCTCAGGCCCGAGACGCGGCCGGTGACGATGTGTGCCGGGTGTCGACTACGATGGCGTACGATGGATGAGAAGCTCACGCGCACACACACACACACACACACACACACACACACACACGCACACGCACATTTGCGTTGAACAGATACAAAAACACACCTCACGACACGTACTAACACATCATCACATACAATCTAGCACATCTAGCCATCTAATGTAGACATCAACAGAGGCGGGGCTTAAAGTGCATACGTGAACAGAGGCTTTGCTCGCTTGAGATCAACACCGGCCTTTAAACAACGAGCGACAGTGATCCTCGGCTGGTCTCAGTGTCCCGCTGTATCGTTGCAAAAAGCACGTGCCCACCGCCGTTTAGCTCAAACTGTTCCTCGCATCATGAAGCAATGACACTGCATAGTTCACGTGGGGTCGGTGGTATATTATTGCGGTACAATGTAGGTCCGGGGTCCGGCTGTGGGCTGCAGGATGGCACAGGAGAAATCAAATCCATCATGAGAAGCTTGCTGTCGAGTTTAGCTTTAAACGCGTGATAATCCACCAGGTGTTTTCCCGGATGCATAGAAGGAGGCCTGGCTCCTCGGTCCGGTCGGGGCGGCGGGGGGGGAGGCGGGTGAAGCAGAACCGGCGGGTCAAAGAAGGTCAATAAGGGGCGAATAGGACCTGCGGGTGGGAGGTCCTGACAGGCCCCGGGGCCGGGCGGAGCAGTGCAGCGGGGAGGCCCCGCGTCTGGAAGAGGGCGGGGCTCGGGCCGTGGTTGGTGACGTGGTTAGCGCGGTGCGTGAATGCGTTGCCGAGGGCGGCCGCCACCGCCACCAGGTGAGCGGGTAGCATCTGTGTGGCGAGGGGCGGACACGGGGGATCCTTGCCCAGGGACAGCTTCACCTGGGGGGGGGGGGGGGGGCAAAATGTCAGTCAGCTCAGTCGCTATTTTCACAAGTACAGGAAGCACGTTGGCTCCAAAGCTTTCTATTTTTATCTTAAAATAAAAATAAAGTCTGCCTTAAATGTCTGTTAGGCGCAAACTTTGCTGGAATCGAAACCAGTTTACTGTTCAAGGAGCTCATGAATAAAATGTGCAAATCTGACTGAACATTTGACACCAATCATATTCATCGTTATCTCGTGAAAACACGCGATCTGAAGGCGTCACATCGAGCCCTTGCCTTAATTGTACCACAAGTTGCAGCGTACAACACGCTCTATCGTCAGATAAGGACCCCCCCCCCAAAAAAAACATCATAATCATGTCTACTTTTTGATCAATACAGTCTGTTTTGTGTTGTCACGATTTTACCAGATGGCATAAACAGAGGCACGGAGGTGGTGTCCCTCTCGGACATTATGCACATGAATCAACAGGGAGGTGGCCGAGGACACGGGGGCCGTGCCGGCATGGAGGATGTGGGGGGGCAGGTGCCAGAAATCAACTGCTGATTGCAGAAAGTGTTGCAGCTGGTTTGTGCTCACGGAGCCAAGCCGCATTAGACATCTGTGAATAATCACTCCATCATGTACCTGCAATTTGGCGAAGAGCTATTTAAAAACGTGTGACTCATTCCGAAAGTCCTCTTTTTTTGTACCCTGGATATCAGAAGAGAAAGAAATGCCTCAAGAGCGAGTATGGAGGTATGTAAGAGTGAGAAAGAGCGGACGAGGGAAACGACAGATGGCCGCGACTTCCCAGAACAACCTAAAAGGGTGAAAAGGTCGCCGAAGTTATCTGGCTTAATCTTCTGTATCAGTAATGGAAAATCTACGCTCTCGCGGCACCGGGACGGCAGCCATTGTCATGGGTTATCAATCACTGACTCAGGCATCGTAACCCTATGGGAGACATCCTTTTGCTCTCCGCTCATCAAAGGAGCTCCTCTCCGTTAACTCAGTCAATGATGGGTTTCAGAAAAAGTCATTTCCCCCACACTGGTAACCCCGGCGCTTTGTCCCGGCAAACAGTGGGTGTGATTAATGCCGTCTTTTCCGAGAGCTTCTGTGGGACGGGGAGCCAGACGCTGCTTTTATTCCCCCCCCCCGCATTGAATCCACGTGGCTGCTCCCGCATCCTGTGGCACTCTAAAGAAAAAATAAACGCAGAGGGGTTTGCCACACGGGACGGCGAGATTAACGCGTTTTTTTTAAGTTCTTTTCGGTTGGCTTCTCGTATTCTCGGACCCCCACGCTGTGCCGCGCCAAGTAAGTTAAAACCGACATTTACAGTGACTGAAAAATCGCGTTGGACCTCGGTCTGCATTCCGCCTGCAGCGCGCTGACTCAGAGGCGCCTCGTGATACTGGCCTTTTTTTTCTTTTGTCAATAAAATATCAAATTAAATCCCGCTGATCCGTGTGAGTGAACTTTATTAAAAGCCAGGTAACGGCCGATCTGGTTGTAAACGTTGACATTTCATTGGATTAGATGCCGTGAGGCGGATTGATGACACCTTAGGAGTGGAATGGAGTTTCTATGGGCAAAATTTCTGCATTTGGTAAGTCAGACCGAATGATACTCATTGTACTAATAACTCTTCCAGGCTTGATGGGTCGATTGCAACTGCAGAAACGGGGACTTTTGTCGATGACGAGAGACAACCGGGACGCGTTGTGGACTCACCGGCTGCGTGGTCGGGCCTTTCTGCGTTTTGCTGTAGGGGCTGTACTTCGGCTTGGCTGGTTTGCCTGCTGCTCGGTCTTTATGACGCCGGCTGCTGATATGCTGAAAGTAATACAGGAAATGAGTTTAAAATGAGGCCGCCAGGTCCCCACATGGTTTCAGACGCTGTGGTTAGATATCTAAATGTACTTCTTCGCATTCAAATAACAAAATGCATCAACGGGATGAAAAAAGAGGATTCATTTTTTCATTTGCGCGAATATATGATTCCATACACATTGCGAAAGAATCCACATTAACTTGAATGGAAAAACGTGTCTTTTACGCAATACTTCTGAACCACCTCAGCTTGCTGTTGTTAAGGTCAAAGGTCACATGGGATGACCAGGAAATGAAGGAGAAGCAATGCTGGCCCAGAGAGTCCAATGACTCACGACGCAGGCCAAAGGGAAAGAGCCCTCGTTTATGATGGCAGCTGTATTTCTACGTTTTTTCAAATGGCCACAGCTCTCTGGTTTGCAATCACTGACTCCCCACTCAGGGAAAAAGGAAAGTAAGTTGCACCCGGGAGCCGTCCGCCTCTCATTCCGCCGTCAACAAACCGCTCGATCAGCAGAAACGGCCTCGCAGCCGAAACGTAGAGCGACGCGTTCTTTCGTATTTTACAACACACTCATTTTGGCAAAGCCGTGGGGAACATTTTGTTGAAGAATTCAATGTAGCCGTGGCAACGGAGTTGGTCCCTGCTGGCGCCCATTCAAAAATTGCAGGACGTTGACAACGGAAAGGTACTCGACTTTCGGCGCCAGCTGGCCAGCCGCCTCTGCTGTAATGTACCAGGATGCTTAATTGATTCAAAATGGGATTATTTTATACTGATGATGTAGATATGGTGAAATAATTGAAACTGTAGTTACTGACTTGTAGTCAAAAAAAAAAATTCCGTCCAAAATTTGACGTTGTTGAGTTTTGGCCAAAAACATGTTCAGTGAGGACGAGTTAACGAATTCTAGTCAGTTTACCTTCAAGTGAAAGTGGATGTTTGTGCAAAATCAGAGGAATTCCTGTCAAATTTGGTAGTCGTGAAACTAAAAGAATCTTAATACACGGGGGAAATGCATCAGAATAGACTTCTAGAACTTGTCGGTATCAGAGAATCATGAACATTCGCAGCAATCCGTCTGATTCACAAGTAGCTTGTCAGACAAATTGGCGGCTGAACAGGAAACTTTGACCATTTTTCAAGGCAATCTGCCGACATTGTACTTTTTTGCGATGCTGCACCTTTCGCTGGATACTAAAAAATGTGTGAAAAGTGTCATTATCCTTTCATGACGGAGCTGCCGTCTGCCTGAGCCTCGGGCTGGAAGCCATTCCGGGGTCGATGAAGCTGACCAGACGGGGGGCGAGAGGTCAGCACTAAAAACACACCTTTTCTCTCAACGGGGACAACGTTTCAGCTTTATCGCACCCAGACACACGCACGTTGTAGTACGATGCAAAAAGCCTTCGCCAAATGATCAAATGCTTTTGAAAATCAGAGAAAGTGGATCTAAACAAACAGAGAAAACACTGGGATGTGAAATGTCATTGACAGAAATCCTCTGTAAACTTCAGCCAGTAAATAATTCAGTGTGGGTTTTTTTGACAACAAAAAGCAGCTTTCTGGCTGTCTACATTTCACGCGGCATTGCAGGGGATTTAACAATCACACTTTTCTTCTGGTTTTCGAGCTGTAACTGAAATTCTCTCCGCTGGATCTGTTTTTCACAGAGAATCGCGGCTGTTTTAAAAGTACTCACTAAAAGCCCCCGCATGAAAAATTCATACAAAGCCTTTCTCTCTCTCTTGTGTGAGAAATGTCAAGGTTAGCTCAGAGAAAACCGAGTGGTTTTTGGGGATGAAATTCCTCCCCGTGACAGAATGATCAGCAGCCACACCAAAGGAGGGTTTGTGCGGCGCCCCAAAGCAACAACTAAGACACACACTCCTGCCAAGCCACACAGGGAAACACCACACAGATCAGGTATTGATCGCGCTCTCGCTTGATTTCCTTGATATCAAGTCCATCTAGAAACGCTTTGCAGAGAGAGATGAGCAGAAACTTGGTGGGCTTCACTTCTGAAGCAGGAGCTTCATTTCTTAGCTTTGTTCGTGCTTCAACCAGAAGACTTCCGCCAGGAAACGCTTTGCGTTTGACAGCAGCGCAAATTAGAAATAGAAAAACACCAAAAACTAAAAAACATTTTTTCTTCTTGTCTCTGCAGCCCGCCAGGAAAAAAAATGTTGACACCGTATGTCTCTTCAAACCAAAAATTTGTTTAATATCAGTCATTTTGCATAACGTAGTTTAAGGGGGAGGTTTAGGTGATTTAGTCATTAATTCGATAAGGTCCATGTCATGTCTTATAACAAAGTTCATTCAGTGTCTAAGTCTCTCCTTCTGTCATGGTCTTATTTTGTAGTTTTCTGCCTCTTGCCTCCCTGGATAACTTCACTTCCTGCCTTGTCCTGTCATCCCCTGTGATTGTCTGTCGTGTCATGATTGACCTGTGTCCATCACCTGCACCTCCCTAGTGTATTTAACCCATGTGTGTCTCTTGTCACTTGTGGCGTCATTGGTATTGTCACATGTTCTACCCTCTGAGTTCCGCGTTCTGTCCCCTTGGCCTTGATCTTTTGGACTTTGACTATTAAAGTCTTTTTGTTTTTGAAGTCTGCGCCCTGCATTCCCCGCATCCGCGACACCTTCACTAACGTTCTCTCTCGGCTCACCTGTTTCAGCTGCGTCTCTGAGTTGACGTGCACGTCACACGTCTCACAGAAAAACGTTTTGTTCTGGAGGCCCGTTGTCGACTTGACGGTCACGGCCAGTTTGCTCTTGACGCCCGACCGGGGGAACGACTTGATGGAGCCCACGCCGGTCCGGGCCTCGAGCATCGTCTTGTGTTTGGTACCTGCAGGTTCAAACAGGAAGAAGCAGCCGGTAGGTGAACTTCACACGATTGTTGCCGCCTCGAGGAACGTTGAGATCAGAGGTTCGCGCCTGTTATTTTTTTTTCTCTGGTGATTATGAAAGGTCAGTCACTTTTAAATTACACCACGACGTCTCAGATCAAAGTAGAGGACACTGTTAAACTCCATTACGCAAATCTCTCTGTTTTGGATGTCCCTGCAGGCCCTGTGAGGTCAGTGGTTATGCTCTCATGTGCAAACACCATTGTGTCGTGTCTGGTTTAGCACATACTCCTAAAACAGTAACAACGGATTACGTCATTCACTTATTTTCTACAGGAAATGCAATTCAAGGTAATAATGAGAAAAGAAACCGGGTTATTTCTACTATAATATATATAATGTATGACACTTTACTGCAGTTGAACAGATTCTTTGGGGTGAGCCAGTTAATACTATAAAACACATTTCAGGTTGTTGTTTTTTGACAAAGTTGCTGTCCTCGTCACTGTTTTTTATTATATAGTTGTTGTGTTCAACAGGTTATTTTCTACAGTATATTCTAAGCAAAAGGAACACAATCTCTGTGAAAATGTCATATTTGGACTTCACCACTTTACACAAAGACCTTTCCTTCACTGTTACACTGTTACAAAACGTATGAAGAAATGAAGCAAAGACACGGCGCAGCCGGCTGGAGCTGGAAGGGTCACATTCGCTCTGCTGGACGAGCTCTTCACTGCCCGGCTCTCCGTGGCTTTGAGGCCCCGTGAGGAGTCCTGTGCTTCGGTGTGGAGTGGATGTCCGTGTGTTTGCCCTATTGATCAATTATGTGACTTCCTGTCACTACTGGGGCTCAATACCAGGCTTGGATCCTCTCTTATCAGCCTGTTGAGTGGCTGTTTTCAGAGATTAGCCTTGTATGTTTGGGTTGGATTCCAAAGGCTGTCATCATCTATTGTCTTTGTTGATCACCAATACGAATACCGCTGACCTTTAGTTGCCGTGGTAATAGGCCATATTTCCGTATGATAGCTTTTACTTTCACAACTCTTGTTGACGCGGTTTGGCCCCGAAGCGTTAGAAAGCACAAATATACCTGAGCATTTCTAACATTTGTGGGACGGTTCTTCTCAGACGTCCCTTACCGCTGTTGTGAGCTTCCAGCTGCGATGCGGAGTTCACCGCCACTTTGCACAGCGAGCAGTACAGAAGACGTCGCGCTTTCTCCTCCTCCGTCTCGGCGGTCGCGTCCGTCTCCGCCTCCGGTTCCGCCTCCGGCTCCGGCTCCTGTTCTGCGGGCGATTTGAGGCCGGCGTCCCCTCCGGCGGCTGGCGTAGTCTCCGGGACGGCGGCCCGTCCCGTCGGCGGGGCCTCAGGTGACGGCGTCGGCGTCGTGCGGGCTGCCGAGGGGGCCACCGGGGCCAAGAGGGCCAACGGTGCCAAAGGTAGAGGCGGTCTGAGCAGGGGGGGGAGCGCTGGGGGCCCTGCTCCAGGAATAGCATCTGCAGCGAGGAGATAGATGATTGGATTCACGTGATACGCCCTCATGTTCATGAAACGTCAAACCTAGATGTGGTCTTTACAGATTTTGAGATGTTGATACTCTTGCGCACCATGTTGCTGTGTGAACCTTTTTAGACAAAAACACATTCAAACAGTTGAAAAAAAAGAAAGAAGCATTTATGAAAACATGATCAAAAAACTCAGCAAGACACACAACGGAAATAAGTTTCCAAAACAAAAAGAGTTTCCTGGGAACAGATTTTAAGTGCAAACAGTCTTAAACACCAGAGATTAGATCCCACAAATAAACTGCTCTGCCTGCGTTAGCAGATATAACAAACACGTGCTGCTCTTTTCATGGTCAAACACAAGCAGACGATGTGTACGGGTTTTAGATTCTAAACATTTAATAGAGGAGTGAGATCTATCAAAAAGTTAAATCCTTTAATGATTGATCAAGTTATTCTTGACAAACTGTGATTGTTGCCTTGACAAGCAGGTCTTTTACGTCAACGATGGCCGCGGGTTTTCTTCTTCTCTAGTGTAGCACGTAGCGTTTGTTCTTTAGGCCTCTCAGAACGTGACACAAAATATCAACACCTCAATTGGAAAAGTCACTTAGTGTTCCTTTGAATGAAGTACTGTATTGGCTACTGGCATTTCCATTTATTCATAGGATCCCCAGCGAAGATGTCTGATGATAAAGGTAATAATGTGGCATATATCATGCTGTGTGTGTCCATTAACACAGTCTTTATTATTGAAATTGGGCTCTGCAAGATAAGCCCTAAAATGTACTGCTGTTCCGTCGTTAATGTGCTGCACAAATAGCCGCTGTGATCTGAAAGCAATGTCTGATATTTCTAGGCACAAGGACAGCAGTGGGTCGATATATATGACTCGCAAAACAACACCGCACGTGAGTGTTTGGAATACAGAGGAGTCGGGAAAATTAAATTTTGCCTCGGGAGCAGCGGCTGATCGATGCCGGTGCCTTTTTGAGTTCTCCGCACTACGTTGTCACCAAATGAAGATCAGCCAGCCAGGAGAGCAGATCAATAGTGAATCATGTCACGCTATTTTTGTGAGCCGTCATACGCGGGGGTCATTTGTCCCCGCGGACGTGTCGGCGGTCGACCGCTCCAGGTTGCCGTGGTTCACAAAGGGTTCACTTTAGGCAAAAGGTTTAAAAGAAATACAACAGCGGCTTGGAGTGGCAGGTGTGCTGTAACCGGTGGGCGAAGAAGTACATACATCCTTTAAACAGACGGAAGTTGTATTTATGCACAACGTGGTGTTGGAATCCAAGGTTATTACACCGACACATTTGATAAAAGGTTCACTAAAAGCTTTAAACACATGTAAATGTCTGCACTGTTTTTTATTCTCTTCTCATCCATTAACCTTTTGAAATGGGTTTGATGCACATTTGTACTTGTTGGAATACTCTGCTCTTACAGTTGATTGACTCCAACTGTGGAATTTGCTGCGCTTTTATGCAGCCGTTCAAATAATGAACAGAAGCAGGTGGTAAGAAAATGGAGAAAAACAAAAGGACCTCTGCATTGAAATGAGGGGGAAAGCTGTGGGAGGTTTTGCACTGACATTTATTAACAAAACCATGAATTGTATTATTGCAAATGACTCATTATCCGGCACGGTTGGTGAGCGACAAAGTGAAGCCCAAATGATGTTGGTGTTTGACAGCAACTTCCCGAACACAATCTGCTAATGTACTGGTCAAGCTACACCCATTTTACTGCAGGGTTGGCCATATTTACACAGCAGGCCCGCTCTGAATCAGCCACAAAAACACAACCAACAGCCAAAGCAGTTCCACCCTATGAATCTACTTCTTATCATTCTGGGGAAAAAAACACCACTTATTTGTGTAGATGTTGGCATGTGCATCGGCCGCTATCAGCAATTATTAGTCTGATTACAAGGTTCTAAGAGAGATATTGGGTTTGGAGGTCCTTAGTTTATAGACCAGATATTCCCACAGCTGCAGTGCCGAAAAACTAAAAAGCCCTTTACAGACTTCTGCTTCTACTTCTAACTCCAACCGACCTGCAGAGGCAACTAAGCAAAGAAACCCATCGGCCGTCTACAGCTGCACCCTGCAGGATCCTGGATGTCTAAAGCCAGATGGGATCTATAATCTCATCCCCGGGGGCCTCCTGCCCCCTCTGTAATGTCTTGGGTACCTCTGTGGAGAGGGGGGGGAGGCTCCAGGAAGTATCTTAATAAGATGCCTTAACTATCTCTGCTGACCCCCTTTGAAGGGAGGGCGACGTATTTCTGCTCTTTCAGGATGTCGGAGCTCCTCAAACACATCTGTTACTACTAAAGTGCAAACGCGAGGCCATTATCTCTAACGGGCGGTTGAGCGGGTCTCCCCCTTTTGAGTCGTAGCAGCTACGACTACACAGACACCAACCGGTAAACAGAAAAAGGTCGCAAAAGTCAACTGAATTCTCTGACCTTAACAGAATGGGTCCATTTGGATTCAAGCGAGGGCGCCCACCCAGGTGCTGAAGGGTGTCATTAGTGATGCAACGATAGGGATATTGAATGTTGTGCCGATACTGACTCAGATATCTTAATCTTGCATTGGTGAAAATGGGAAAGATTTAGAAATATCTCTTTCTAGATAAATTATATATTTTATAATGTCGGCCATTTGAATTAATGTGCATATTTTAACAAATGGAATATAATTCTTTCTCATTTTGAAAACTGGTGTGTCCTTTTTTTTATTTTACTAATAACACAAATGTAGTGACCAATGTAATTACAGAGACACAGAAAACATGAGCACAAGCTTCCCTTCTCACTCTGCCAGTGTTGCTGCAGCAATTCTTTTATTCTATTCTGACTGCCGCTGACGGGATGTTTCCATCACACGACCTTAAGCCAGGTCGTCTCGGTTACCGCTGCCGGCAGAGGACCGAGCATCAGTGATGCAACGTGGTGCAGCTCTGACTAAATGACCTCTACCTGTAAATCCGTGTTCTTTTCCAGCAGTGGCTGCCTGTGGACTGATCCAAGGAAGAACATCTGGCATAAAAAGGCCATTTTTCCAGTCTGTTACACACAAAACCATGACTGGAACATTTATGTAAAGCCTCTGGACGCTTAAAGAGGGCACCAGTGGCTTCAGTTGAGTGCAGCGTATTATATGTTCTGTTTAATTTGGAGTTCAGGCTGAATTTGCTACAGGCAATAGCCGGAAAATTGACCAATTGCTTCCCAGTTTTACAGTATATATAAGAAATCCCACGCTTAGTAGGAAAAAGAAGCACTTGCATTCAAACTACGGCCAAAGCAAGACACCTTTTTAGGTTTCATGTTGCCTTGTTTAGCCGTCAACGACACCAGATGTAACTTTGCGTCCCAACTTTGCATCAAGCACAAGCCATTCCCACCAGAACGACAATGATTCTGTGATCCTTTCATGATGGCGTTGACCTTGTCACTTGTGATAAACAATGTTTATGCCAGGAGCAGAGTGGCTGCGACCTCTTTGCCCTCTGCAATTAGCGATCCACCTACTCCCAGTGAGCTCCGGTGTCCCGGGCTCAAAAACAACCCGGAATTCACAGCGATTACTCCCTCCGAGCAAAAAAGTGGCCACCACACCTGCTCCCCCCCCCCCCCCCGGGCAGCTCTTCGATGGCGCGGCCACCGGGCCCGCTGAGTGCCAGCGAAAGGGTTCGGCGTTCACGAGAGCCGACGGTTTGCTTGTTGTTTTTTACCTGCAAAGCGCCAATGAGCCGCTTGCGGCAGATGTTCTGCCGACTAAAAGAAGCGCACCATCAGAGAGGAGCTTTCTCATCTCCACAAACATCTCTGTTGCTTTTGGTTGTTTCTGTGCATGGCCCTAATTTATCCCTTTTCCCTTTGTCAACGGCTGAAAACTATAATCTGCATCATGTTTCTTTGGCCAACATGGACTCCACATCGACCCCGTGTTTTCAACAGCAAACACCAATTTGGGAGGGTAAGTGGTTTGGGTGCTGCGGCAACATTTTGGCGTTTCGCTTGTTTTCTCTAATAGGTGGCGTGTGAAAGTCTAATATTTTGACGAACTCAGTAGAGAGAGAAATGGGTCCAGGATTTGTCTTTAGCCGAACAAACACGAGGCACGGGGCGGTAAAAGCCCCACAGAGCATTTAATATTAAGCGTGATGGTGCATTCTTCAACCTGCGAACATCAGTTTGAATTCTTATCTCAACTTCCTACTGGCTTTTATCTTCTTGACAGAATCTCACAGCCTTCAGAAGGAGGGAAATCCGCTCACTTTAGTGCAAGTTTGTTTAGTTCCACAATTTAGGTACGATTATTCACATTCTAGCAGAAAGTAAGTTGTGAAGATTGATCCTGTGATGCTGCAGGCAGGAGGATATGAGCTTAGTTGAGCATAAATTGTGCAAGAAGTGTGGAACAACAAGCCCAGAAGTAGAAATCACACAAATTACATCTCGTAAAACCTCAACATGGCATTTTTGCATTTCTGTTTGTTTGCATCAAACTCTGCTGATAACCCACGGACATGAGAGGGGCATCAATCTTCTCAATTAAGCAAATCACTGCATTTCTCCGAAATGTCAACATTTAAACGCAGGTTCGGGGGTTGTTAGAAGAAACTTGGCCATGTTCTTGTTGCTCGGCTAAACATGGAACATATTTAAAATCGACCTGCTCTACCGTGCACCTGTGTGTTGCATTGCCGGGCGGTTGGTGAAGTCTTTGCCCTTGTGTCGGGGTGAACCCGTCCACCACGATGCCATTAAAGAGCCATTTGCGGATGGGAGGGCGGGTGATTAAAGAGTACTTTGGCTGGCTCAGGACAGTGTGCACTCTGAGAAGCCTCCAGTAATCCATATCCCCAGCCAGAGTGACCGGATTGGCTCTGCAAGGCCCAGTTAAAAACTCAATCCCCTCTCATTAATGGAGGTAATGACTGTGATCAATCCAAAGTAGGTGTGGGCGAGCGGGGCCCGACAGAAGAAGAGAGAGAGAGAGAGACAGGTCTGAGTAAGAGAAAGGACAGGATGAGAAACAAGAACAAAAGGAGGATAGATACGGAGGACAAGTGGGGCTGCAGAGTTAAATGAAAGTGAAACTGGAAAAGTAAGTGTGGGAGGGTTGGGAATGCCGAAGAGAAAGGCAGCGCAGGACAGGTGGTGCGAGGCAGGACGCCGCCTCGTTCTCCTTCCACCTTCCTCCGCCTCGGCCTCTCCACGCTCCCTCTGGAAATGCTTCCACTCAACTCCCCAGAGATCTGATTAGCTTTCTCAACGACGCCGGATTAAGCTCCTTAATTAAAATGATTGGGCCTTATTATATGCTGTCACAACTTAAAGGACAGAAATCCCTCATGGCTCTTGAGTTCTGTCAAATTTCATTTGACGCACTTTGACACACACACACACACACACACACACACACACACACACACACACACACACACACTCACACTCACACTCACACTCACACTCACACTCACACACACACACGCTCTTGTCAGTATTCAAAGTCAGTAAATGAGAAAAGAGTCACGGTTGAATATTTCAAAAATTAAGGATTGATAAGGTGAAAAATTAGCAGTCACCAATAAGCACGCGTCGGCGCTTGCAATCATCTTTTTTGTCGAAGGGTGGGGGGGGGGGGCATTGTCCCCGACTTTTACCAGCGGCACGAGGCACTGAATTGAATTCACACGGATTTATCTCTCGCCATCAATGTCATCCGAACGCTAATGATCCGCGGCGGATTTCCGTCGGCAAGTTTCCTGCGGATGCACGCTTGGCCTCCAAATCCCCGCGCAGGTACGGAGCTCGGATGGTGGCGGCCGCCGATGGGGAAGTGTGGAAGAAGGACGTGGTGGGGGGTGAGGGTTGAAGGGGAGGCGGGGGGGGAGGTGGAGGCTTAGCTGGCCTCCTGCCTCCCTGCAGCCGGCTGCGTCGTGCAGCTGCCGTCAGAGCTGCCACGGCTCCCCTGACAATCTGCTCTTTAATAGCTAATATCAGGGTACATTTCCTCGGGCAGCGGACCGGAACTGAGAGATGGCGGGCCGTGCTGGGGGCATTTCTCTCTCTCCCCTCCTTCTATCTCTACTCGCAACGACACACACACACACACAGAAGGTTGACAGGCGGCCGCTGAGTCACCCTGCCGCTCCACGCCGGCCGTCCATCTCGCAACAGACACGACTTCCACAGGCGCCTGCGTCCTTAATGAAATCCAACCCGTGATTACACGCTTTCAGGCGGACTCGCCGTCCCTCTGCGATGCACTCACACCGCCGCCAGCAGACGGACGGAACGGACGGTTTCATTCCACAAACAATCGCTCCCGAGAGGTAATCTGTGTCTCAGCATTTCGACCCGGCGTGTTTGTGTTCTGCTCGATTCTGTTGTTGTGACTCAGACCTTCCCGTGAGGGTGTCCAAGAAAAGGAAAATATCATGGGAAAAAATCGAGAAAGCTTTATTCTTTTTCATTCAAGTGTAATTCGCAGGGTTCTTCCAGTTAAAATCAACATATAAGTGTTAATGTCCAGCATGAACTGCTGAGAGTTCTCTACTTAATATAGAAGATGGAGAAATATGCCAGAAGCCCTTGAACGGTGTCCTCTCCGTCCTGAACTCTTAAACCATCCGTCAGTGTCTCGTATCAGTTGTCTATTAAACGTAATATATTTGATTTCCTGAATTTAACTGATTTGATCTCCCATTTTCTCTAAGTCGACTTCTGACCAACTAGTTCACTTGATTCCAGTTTTTAAGGCAGCAGGTTAAACAGAATTCTGAAATGAATCGAACCAGATGTTTTGCAGTGCTTTCTTACAAAATAGCAGCTGCCACAATTTGGGAATAAAATGATTTCAAGCCAGATATTTATTTTTTTAGCAAACCAAACCGGGTGGAAGAGCCTCCTGCGACCGGCACAAAATCCCCCTTTCTGTTGTTTCCGCCTCTCACCATTATTCTTCCCTGAACTCTGCTTTTCATTATAGCGAGCTCGGCCCTGCTGATAAACCCTCAAATACTTTGGCCTTGCGGATAATGCAGCGTTTACCCACCTCGACTATTCATTATTCTGACATCCGAGTCATTAATATTCATTACCCAGATCCACTTGTGACAAACCGCCGCCCCCGTCACCGTCGACACGATAGCGAGATGATGCCGTTTTATTTTTTTCTCTGAAGGCACTGAAATGATTAATAGCCATTTCTCTGTTTGGGTATGAAGGCTTGTTGTTTAAGGTCCTTTGAGCTATCTGCCTGCATATAATGTCTGCGTATGGGATGTTTTGTGAGTAAACATTTAATAACGGATCTGTGCCCACAACAGATGGTGCCGGTCCAGTGAGATACGTTCTGAATCGTCACTCTCTAGCACTCGTAGATGGAGGTTACGAAATTCACCATCGCAGATGCAAACAACAAAAATGTGCTAATTTAAACTAGATTTAAGTAGCTTAAAGGTATGAAAAATATCCTTAACCACCTATAATATAATCTTAAGAAGAGCAGCATGCTGCAGCTGATCGCCTGCCAGAACTTTACAGGTAAAATCCCCTAAAATGTATTTCTCACATGTTTGAGAAAGACATAAATTAACAACCGCGGCAGACAGCTTATTATCTCCAAGTAGATATTTAGTTTTTTATTACGGACAAATCAAAAATAAAAGCTGACATTTAAAGAACTAATTGTGAAGAAACAACAATTTATCAGTCAATGTTAGTAGATTTTCTTATTAGAATATATTATACAAACAGTTTACTTCCTTTAGGCGCTTGTACAAAGATGAGTAGAATATTACTGGTAAAAGAAGACAGATGCAGTGGATTGTGTCTCTTTCGCACAAGGCGCAGACGGGCAGGGTCGGCGACGGGAAGCCGGTAAACGCGGCAATGTCTGGCATACTGCTGAAACCGATCCGGCAGCCAGTGAGTGGGTGACTGGGGGTTCAAATACTGAAGGGAGTGGAGTGCAGCGGGGTCGACAGGGGAGACGCGAGAGTGTGATTGAGCTGACGAGCTGGAATGTGAAAGAACTGATTGGGAGGGCGGAAGGGAGGCTGAGCGGTGACATCCAAGGCGGCCCGAGACCTGCGAGATGGCGCCGCTGCATCTCCTGAAAGCGAAATTCACGGGGCGGTGTTCGACAAACGGCAGCGCGGATGAGCTCGAGTGCAAATCGCTCCACTTAACGGTCTGACGTTTGCGTCGCAGCTTAGCAACTCCATGGGAGGCGCAGGAGAACGCTGCCAGGTGCGAAGCTCGGGAAATTAGATGAAGATTGGCGCTTAACCCGCGTGAGGGTAAATCTGGAGAATTAAGCACTTGGCAATGCTGTGTTTGTTTAACCTACATTTCAACTCCAGAGAGGAGAATTGTTGATATTTGTAGGATTTACGAGCTAAAATTGCCTGAACATCCCTTATGAGGCGTGCGGTGAACACCTGGTTGGGCATCTCAACCGTTTCGTGATCCAATTTTTCACCTCAAACAACCGTTTAAGCTTCGGCCATGAATAGGTCAAACTTGACAAATAGGTCACGGCGCACGGTGAACTCCAGAAATGTGCTGCTAATTTAAATACTTGTGGAACATTGGAAGACGTAAAACAAGATCCCGGAACGTGACGGCTCAATGTGTTTCCAATTCCAAAGGAAAACCTCTAGTGACGGTTAACAGGGAAGACTTTTTCATCTCATGACATGATAACGTGCCCGTTGAAGGAACGTTACATCTGTGGCGACCGAGAGGTCACAGCTCCAGAAGCCAGCGAAGTCTTCCTCCAGAGAACCAATACGAAGCACGGCAGACAAAACCGGTTAAAATAATCTGCATCTGGCCCCCGTCGGGGGCTGGAAGTTGCGGTTGGTGTTTGTTGACTTATTCAACATGTTTAAAAGCAGAGAATTCAACCGAGAATAGGATTGTTTATTTGGCAGACACCTGGCCGAGATAACCGGATTTACACAGCCACCTGGCTGCGACGTGATGAATATTGAGTTTCACGTAGTCAGCGCTAAACAATGTGCAGCGGCAAAAATGTAATTAAAAATGGGATTGCAGGCAAACGCAAAGTACAAATCCAATATCGGAGGTTGCAGCGTTTTCTTGGAAGAGCGGCAGCATATTGAAGAATTCAGAGTGCTTCTTTGTACTACAACTGACCGGAAAGACCCAAAAGGAATTCCTACGGCTCTTCGAGAAAGTCTAGAGACCTTGTTGGGACCAGTTTCATAAAGCACATAAAGCAACGGTTGAAAGAAATTAGTGGTATAGCACCATTAGGAAAAGGCCAACATCTCCATGGCTGACAATATAAATCAAGCCGCATGATGAGACCATTCAGACTGAAAAAAAAAACCCTTTGTTCATCCTCATCAATTGTCTGTCTGTAACGATGATCTGGCCGGCATCGCACACCGAGGCCCTTCCTCCTTCTTTTGATTGCTTGACTGAACCAGTGTGTCCCGCAGAGCTGAACTTTCTGAATGCAACATACGAGTCAGCAGCCAGCCTCTGGCGCCGCCGCCGCCGCCACCGCGCGGCCGATACAATCAACAGAGACTCCGTCCAACTCCTCAAGTGATTGCATGGAAATTTCCCAAAAAGTGGGTTTTTCAAATTTCATTCCCAACATTCAGGGCAGCAGATACACAAAGAAAACGTGCCGGTGGCGATGTGCGGCCAGCGGGAAAACACAAACCTTTCCTGTCGGTGCCGTCAGGGACCCGCGAGGTGTTGATGCCCTTGGCGGTCTCCTGGTTGGCGGTTTCCTTGGTGACCACTGAGCCTTTGAGCTTACTCTTCGGTGTGTCCAGGGCTTTTAGCTTCTTGGCATGTTTGGTCCCCTTGTAGTGGGCCAAGGCCTGGCTCTGTGAGGAGAACAAACAGCAGGCTCAGTACATCGCCGGGGAAGCAGCACCACACAGAGCCAGGGGGAAACGCAATATGAAAACTGGAGAGACGCAGCCGATGGAGCACAATGAGCACAATCAGTATCTGTCAGTTGCAACGTCTTGCAGTCCAGAAATAATGTTGTATTTCACAAAACAATAACCAATGTTTTTTTAAAGTGATCCAAGTACTTCAATTTGTAGATGTAATCTGGGAATATTTCCATGGGTCTAGCAAAGGCTATATATATCAATAAATGCATCATTTTGTAATTATAAATAGTACATTTTTCTACATCTTGGTGTTCGTTTCCATCTCAAAAATAACTGTTTTGATTCAAAATGGGTCTGGCTGCAAACCAAAAAGTGGTGATTTAAGAAACTAAATATAAAACAACATTTCTTTTTTACATTCGCTAATTCAATGACGTAAAGCGCTTGGAGTGGCAGTTTGCTTTAAAGTCCGAACACCTCTTTAATTAAAGATTCAGCTTGGCAAAGCATTCAGCGATGTACACTGAGGAGGGACGGATGCAAAGACTTTGAGCTGTCCTTGTTTACGTCTCCCCCCCTCTCCCCCCTACTACTTTGCCTGTGGCAGGAAAGATTATCGGGAGAGATGCAATTGCCTTTTAGAATAAATAAGTGGGCCGACTGCTCATTCCCAGAAGACGTTTGTAAGCATCTGCATTGATGGGCCACGCTGGGGATATTCACCAGAGACGGCCGGGCCAAAGAGAACCTTTTAGGTAGTCCTCTCCACATTACCATGTCAGTCCCGCTTTCTTTTATTCTTCTCCAGAAATGTGTCATATGTATACAAAACTGTTAGGTTAATACCCAGTGGAGTTCTGTTATTTGGATTATTGATTGAGTTGATGTGTGTTGATTTTGTGTATGTGATCTGTTAAAAGCAAGGGACAAAAAAATAAGTATCATTATATGAGGGAAATGAAGGTACTAGGTACTATCATTTTGTCGGCAAAGGTGGTGAAATTGCAGAGTTACTTGTAACCTTTTCCCTTCATCCCAGAAACCCCTTTTGAAGTGTAATTTCTTTTCAAACTGAGTGCACATCTTGTTCTGGCGCGAATGCGTGAAAGCTATTCATTTGGACACACATTCATCATTGTCAAGGTGCCAAAGACATAACTTCTTCTTTTTTTTGTCAGGACACTCCAATGAAATGGATGGATGTTTAATGTGAATGCACCAATAATTCATCTTTTGTTAGAGAAACGAAGTGGAGGAATGGCTTGAATTCCAAGTTTGACACACGCATGATGAACACTGGGACGGGTATCGTTTGTTTTCCTTGCAGGTGCTCTGTGAGGTGGAAAAGACGTTAAACAAATCACAGGCTGGCGGTTTGGATTCAGCGAAGCTTTGAATCATCACGTACCAATCGACAGACCTGTGTCCATTTGCAACAATCTATGTAAACCTGAAAGTGAGTGTCTGCTCTAATGTACATTTGCCAGTTACTGCCTAGCTGGTGAACGTAGAGGAGCATTAATGGCAAAAGAGTCACATATTTCCCTTCAGTTGAAAATTGAAAGCAGGTGAAAAGATTCAGCGGAAATGAGAGCTTCAAATGTTTGTTTTTAAAATCCCAGTGTCTGTGAAACCAGATCATTGCAAAAGTGTAGTTATACTTTCATCTGGATAAGAAGAAGACAAAACATCAAGTGAAGATACTTTAAATACTGTAACTACTCTGAGATCGTCCAAGGATCTGACTAAGCAAATAAAAATGTTCAGTTCATATGAATGAAAGCTTTGTACCGAACTTAGAGAACAAGATTTAATTACATTGTCAATCCGGTCCTTGGCTTGTTGTAACACGGGGTTATTGTAGGTATCAAGACACAATTAAATCAACTCAACATGAAACAAGATTTTCATCAATATCTCCCACAAACAACCGCTGTTCAGAACAGACTGAAAGCTCAAAGCGTAGGAAGGTTTACAAACGTTACATCAGTGTGTGTTTACAGTTGCCATTTACTCCTGTTTCAATTTAATGTTCCAATAAAAGGATCTTCAAAGCCCTACACTGATGTCATGGAAGGTAAAAGAAATGTTGAACATGCTGAACTTTGCAGCCAGTTGTGTTTTCAAGGGATGCAGATTTTAGGCTGTTTGTCCTTTGGATGATCCTCCTGGTTCTTATCACAAAAACTCATCCGCCCACATTCCTTCAGATAACTCAGACCCGAGGGCACGATACTCAATTACAAACAGCCAGCCCACGTTGTTGTAGCTCATAAAACCTCGTGTCTGTGGGGGAAGTGAAGATCAGGTATCAAGGGAGACAGATTCCTTGTGTGAGTCAATGAGGTGCAAAGGATTTCTGAAAAAAATGCAAAGAAACACATTCTCCATACATAGCATTTTACTTCTTCGCCCAGCATAAGTTATTAAAGACATTTTTTTTATTGTTCAATGCCACAAAAGGTTAAGACAACTAATGGTGCATTATCCCTGCATTAAATAGCTGACATACGCTCCTCTTTCTAAAACCCACCTCCTACTTCTTGCATCCCACTGGCTTCACCTCTATCGCCCTCAGTTTCCTCCTTCACCTCTTTCCTAACCAAATTCTTACCCTAGTAACCTCTGCCCGTCCGACCACCTGCCCTCTTGACACCATTCCATCACATCTTCTACAATCTATCGCACCTGACCTTCTTCCTTTCCTCACCTGTCTCATCAACAATGCTCTGTTATCTGTCTAGCTTCCCAATTCTCTGAAGGAGGCAAGAGTTAACCCTCTCCTTAAGAAACCTACCCTCAACCCTTCTGAAGAAAACAACTACAGACCGGTCTCTCTTCTTCCCTTTTTGTCCAAAACTCTTGAACGTGCGATCTTTAACCAACTCTCCTCCTATCTCCACCATAACAACCTCCTTGACCCCCGCCAGTCAGGCTCCAAGGCAGGCCATTCCACAGAGACTGCTCTCCTTGCTTTCTCAGAGCAACTCCACACTGCTAGAGCCGCCTCTCTCTCCTCTGTCCTCATCCTTCTCGACCTCTCTGCTGCATTTGACACAGTCAACCACCAGATCCTTATTTCCTCCCATCAGGAACTTGGTGTCTCAGGCTCTGCTCTCTCCCTTCTCTCGTCCTACCTCGATGGCCGATTACCTACCTGGTAACCTGGCGACGATCTGTGTCGGAACCTTGTCCTCTTACTACAGGAGTTCCTCAGGGTCCCGTCCTGGGTCCCCTTCTCTTCTCGCTCTACACCAACTCTCTCGGCGCTGTCATTCGCTCGCATGGCTTATCCTACCACAGCTATGCAGATGACACCCAACTAATTCTCTCCTTCCCTCCCCCGGACACCCAGGTGGCGGCACGGATCTCTGCCTGTCTGACTGACATCTCTCAGTGGCTGTCCGCCCACCATTTCAAAATCAACCCCGACAAGACTGAACTACTTCTCTTTCCAGGAAAAGACTCTCCGACCCGGGACTTGACTGTCAACTTTGGCAACTCCGTGTTAAAGCCCACTTTAACCGCTAGGAACCTCGGCGTCACAATCGACAGCCAACTCTCCCTGACTCCCAACATTACTGCGACAACACGATCCTGTAGATACACTCTCTACAACTCACTCTGCCCAGGTACTGATTCAGGCTCTTGTCATCTCATGCCTGGACTACTGCAACTCGCTCCTGGCAGGTCTCCCTGCTACCGCCATTCGACCTCTGCAGCTCATCCAGAATGCAGCAGCTCGACTGGTCTTTAACCTTCCGAAATTCTCCCACACTACTCCACTCCTCCGCTCTCTTCACTGGCTACCGGTGGCCGCCCGCATCCAGTTCAAAACATTGGTGCTCACCTGCCATGCTGTGAATGGATCGGGTCCAGCTTACATCCAGGACATGGTGAAACCCTACATCCCGACCCGCACTCTCCGCTCTGCATTTGCAAAACTGCTCGTCCCTCCCTCACTGAGGGCAAAACACTCGACTAGATCACAACTCTTTGCTGTCCTTGCTCCGAAATGGTGGAACGAGCTCTCTGAAGACACCAGGACCGCAGAGAGCCTTCACATCTTCCGCCGCAACTAAAGACACACCTCTTCAGACTCTACCTCGACTAAAAGACTAACAAATTGTAGCACTTAAATTGTACTTATAACGCCACTCATCTATAGCAAATTGTAAATTGGCCTATTTGTGGAAATTGCACTTTCTTGTTTCTTGTTCTTCTGAAGTCGCTTTGGATAAATGCGTCAGCTAAATGACATGTAATGTAATGTAAGGTCCACGGTGATCTGGCTGTCTATGTCGTTGCTCCAGATGTCTATGGAGATAGTGCCGATAAAGGTTCCCCTCACGAAAAGCAAAAAGATGAGGATGAAGAAGAATAATTTCGTGACGTTGACCACTGCCATTGTTCAACTCCACTGTGAAGCGAGGAGCCGAATGAAAAGGCCTCCACACCAGGTTGTCCGAGCTACGGGTGGAGCTTCTCCAGTTGTTCAAAGGGGAATTCAATGAAAACTGAACTCGGGATCATCAAGAAAAACTTCTCTCAGTTGTTTAAACCTATTGAATCTCATCGATGTCACCGCCCGCCCCCCCAGAGGAAGTCTTGTTACTCACACAATGATATGGCCGTCTAACCAGATTAAAATTAGTCTTTTGTTCACTTTGGCTTTACTCTCCTAATAAAAAGAAAATTATGGAGGACTGTGTGTTTGGGATCAAAGAAAGTTATTAAAGTGGTAACATGTACATAAATGACCATGATGCATTAGTTATTATACCAAATATTTAAAGTGTGTTACCCTAATATATGCATTGCTTGTTTTTTTCCCCAAAAAATCATTGACAAATACATTTACATTATATAATCCACCCTATTTATTTAGTAATAAATTGCTGCATAACTTGCATATATTTCTACTCTCACTACAAAGAAACAGAAAGTTATAGCAGTCTTATCTGTTGTGGTTAATTTATTTTCAAGACGTGTATTTTTCTATCCTTCATACGCTGCTGTCATGCTGTTGATTTAAATGATCCTTTTGTTAATATCCCATTTCAATTGATTTTTAATTAGTTTTTGTCTCATCTCATTTACACTCTCAATTTGTCTCCATCTCATGTTTTGGGGAATTCCATTGAAGTCAAACTCCATAGAACTTCCTTTCTACTCCTGATCCAATTCATTGACAACAGTGGCACCGCCGCTTGTTTAAACTGCTACAATGGTTCTTCAGAGCAGCTTGTCTGATTGATTAGCTTTGAACTCCCCCCCCCCCACACACACACACACAAACAAACACACACGCACACACACATCTCTGGTGCCAGATTAGGTGTAGGGAGCTTTGTCTGATCCACCATTCAGGCCCAAATCCCACCATTGAATAACTTTTCAACCAGTATCTATATCACTTTCCGAGGACAGAGGACGTTGAATTCTGACTATAAGGCAAAGCCATCCGAGGCAGCTGCTTCTGTTCGACCTCACTGAGTGACAGAATCTGTACATAGAAGGAAGCTCGATAATTGTGTCTCACCGGGAAGCCCCGATTGTTTCATGGGCGGCAAAAAAGACCAAACTGTTTCCCCACTGGAGGATACGGCTCTTCTTGAGTCGATTCGACATTTGGAAATAAATAGATATAAAAGAAGTGAGTAGAATAATTGCTGGCAGTAGTTGCCGAGCCTAGAGTACCGTTGTGCAGAGTTTTACTCCCACCTTCAACTATCGGCTCAGCTTGCTTGGAACTTGACCGCATGGAATCCAAAACAACTATACAACTATCCACAACTGCTGATAAACACAAAGAAAATAACCATTCTAATGCATTACTGAACTGGACTAGTTGCTGGAAGTACATCTTTTGCAGTCGTTGAACTATGGAAGACTTCTGTAGTCTCCTGTAGAGACGTAACGGAAGGTCTTTAAATGTATGTGAGCAAGCTTTTAAGGGAGTATATCAGAGTATCTGGTGACTCACTGTCCAAAAAATAAAAAAGTGAGTCCAGTTCACGATCATGTCTCACAAACAGGACTGCATCTAGAAAAGCAGAAACTGACTCGAAATCCTTTGGAACCAAGCAGTTCTTTTCACTTCCTTTTAGCATCCTGCATCCTGCTCGGCATCGTCTCTGCGCCCACATTATGATAAACTGCCACTGGGGATCATTTAGATCATCTTCTGCTGTTAATGGGGTTACAAAACAAAAGGGGAAAACACACACACCCTGATGGTATTTGAGACTTCCCAGCTGAAAACAAGACTACATGTTGATTGACAGCTAAACAGAGTCTGTCGCTCTTGAAATAAACAGCTGATGAACAGTTAATCTACACCGAGATGGATTTCCTCATGCACAAAATAATAACCTCATCCTGAGTAATCACTGACACAGTAAGCCTGCAAAATAGATTGATTACTCCTTTAACGCACGAGCGATGGCATTGCTATTTAGGGATGCTGCTAATTTAACAACATGCAGCAGTGTTTCTTCCTTTCAAATGTTTTGATTACTTTCGAAATGGTATGGAAATTGAAAAGGGGGCGGAATCGAATCCCATCTGCTGGTCCATCGGTTGTATTAGTGCGATGTATTTCATTATCGCATCCTGGAGCGTCGTAAGAGCTAATGGCTGTAGAAATACTCTGTGTCACACTCAGGGTTGGTAACAACATTGCATTCGTCCCTGGATTCTATTGAAACCAGAGAAAAACCTCCAGTCATTACAATGCTACAATGAGCTAATCACGAGCTGGATAAATGCAATGTAGTTAGAGGAGGAAGATGCTTTCACAATAAAAGCAACCCTTTTAGACACAATACTGTTCAGTAAAGCATTTGTACTCAACTTATTCCCTTCGGTTGTTTTGTCGTCACAGGACTAATGGGGCATTCGTTTAAATGCGAATGGGTTTTCCACAGGCGCTTCACTAATGTGTTCCACTGACAACACAAAACGTTTTGTTTTGTGTGTCATTAAACACACCGGTACAAGTCGGGTGTAAGCAGTAGATTCTATAAGAACCTTTTGAGAAACTTAGGAGTTGACACCAGTTTTAGGTCCAGGCGCAATAACACAATGGGATTAATGGATGAATGTTTGACAAAATGAAGCGTGAATTTAATCGGCAGAAGTAGAAAGCTAACGTTAGAACGTAGACAAACTTCACCTTCAACTTCAGGTCAAGCCTCCAAATCAGTTTAGATGCTACAGGTCAGCTGACCTCCCTCTAAAATGTATATGTATATATGTATCAGACTCAAAGGTTTTTCCAATACATTTGAAAGATGTTGAAATGTAAATGCTCTCGGTTGGACGGCTGCAATTCAAGACAAAGCCGAAGAGCGAAATAATACCCCCAGAGACTGCTCCAAGAATGGACGTTTCCGGATTATTTCACTGTTGGCTTTCGAACTCGCTCTCCTCTTCACAAGCAAAACCGTGCTCACCTGTGAGTTGAACCTCAGCCGGCAAACGCTGCAGGAGACGTGCCTCCTCTTTACGGCGGGAGGGAGGCCGAGGGTGTGATGGAGGACGGCTTTCTGCACGGGGTCCATCTGGGGACACACGGAGGGGGAAGGCCGATTAAAACAGTCGCTAAAGCTGACCTGTAAATCACCTTCATTCCTCCATCACTCAGTGGGCTGCGACGTGCGACAACAGGCTCGGCCATTGTGACTCGAAACACACTGCGGGTGTTTCACCGCATGGACTTCAGCGTAATGACCATCGGCTAAATCTCTCAAATGGGCCCGAGGAGGGGAAACGAATGTCATCACCGAATCTCTTTATCGTCACCGTCTCCCGAGAAGAGACGAAACCAGCAGCGAATAGAACCCACCGTCTGCGTTAACGGTGTGTATTTGCTCTCCAGAAGAAAGAAAAAAACACACAAAAGAGCCACACTTGCCGCGTTTGGTAAAAGTGGTTCTCCGTTGTTTTCCAAATCGACGTGATGAGTTTATTCCTCGTTGAATGATCAATGCGACGTTTAAAAAACCCAGGATCACACGCGCGAGACCACTGCCTTTGTGTTGAGCAGAAGCTCTTCTTAGAAGCGCCGAACAAACAGGGTACAATTCAACCCGGGAAAGTGCTTCAGCGCTCCACTTTGCACCTGACACAAGGCTTGCAGAGTCACGGAGGAACGTATAAATGGCGAGCAAATGACAACCCTTTGAGAAAGAGCTCCCGCGGCCGCTGAGTTGCATCTGAAATTCATCTATTCACTCACTTTGGATTGCAGTGAAGAGACGCCATACATCGCCTAATGCAGATTTTGGACGCCAGCCAGGTTCTGTGCAGCCGCAATTAATATCAAGCTGTGGCTTCAAAGACCAAATCTGTTGGCAAGAGGAATTCACTGAACAACTCCGTAAAAATACATTTGTTATTGTTAGTGAAGTATTTTTCCTGCATCGTCTGAGTAAAGATAGAGATTGAATGCTATATTCAATTAATCCATCAACGTAAAGATAATAAGCGAAATGGATGTACCTTTTCCAAAATACGGAGATGAAATACACCCGAGTGTAATATATACATAATATTTTGGAAAATGTACGTACATTTCCTTTTTATTTTTGTTCCTGAGTTGCTGTAGGAACGGTGAGCAGAGTGTGACATCATCTGTTGGATTTGTCATTCCTACAAACCAGGTCCAGACTTTCAGGCTTTTCATATATCATTCAGAGTGATAGGAGATTTATTAAAGTTGCTCAATAAAAATGTATTTTCTTTTTGGTCACAATGCAGCAATGACAAATAGTTGGCAAATGGATTGATATTACAGATGAATATTATTTGTTCGTATTTTCTGAACATTAATCACTCTACAATTTTACATTTCTGTTTTTAAATTCAAATGTATGAAAATACAGATATGCCCACAAATGATAAACCACAAATATAAAATCCTGCTTTAGTGAATTCAAAAAACACATACGTTTTTATTTTAGTTGATAACTGGAGGCGGGCATGCTGCTGCATTGCTGCACGCTGCCTCACTCTGTGGTTTCACAGGGCTTTGAGGAATGAACAAACACGTCTCCCTTGCAGTGAAAGTGTCTCAATAGGCTCCACTTGGCTACAGAAGGAGGAAAGGTAGTGTGTGGGAGGATTAATCCACCGTGACAATTGTGCTGCAGGAGTACGGCACAACAATGTTGTTTTCTGTTGTTTTTTTCATTACTCCATCAGTGTTTGAGTGTAGAGGTGGAAAAAGGTTTCCTGGGATACTTTCCCCTTTGAACAAAAGTGGAAAACTACTGGTTCGCAAAGTATCAGCAATCTTCTGTGACGGTGTTATGCAGTTTAAAGTGGGGGTGGGGGCCTCTGCTAGAAGGCTTCCCTGATGTCACCCACATCGGCAGCAGAACCAGCCAAGCAAATCCCTCAAGGACCGAGGCAGGAAGGCATAATCAGGTGCAGGTGACAGCAACGGCTGGAACGCCACAGTAGCTCGGAAAGCCATGTGATCTGCCAAGGAAGGGCGGAAAAGTGGTCTCTGCATCAACACTGTGACGGACTGAACGAGGAGCAGCTGGTTAGGCCGCTGACGGGGTCACGTGATCGCCAGAGGAGGTAAACTCGCTGAGGGCAACCAGTGACGCAAAACACGGAATGGAAATTTCCAGAAAGGACACAGTTGGAGAAATGGGATGGAAGGAGAAAGTGGGAGGGGGGGAGGACTGGATGGTTGGTGATCGGGTCCAACTAGACCTGGACTAACTTCTTAGATAATTTGTTGTTTCATAGGGATGTCAACATAAACGCATTCATCTATGCAATTAATGTGGCAGAGATTGATGCGACAAAATATTTGAACGTAGTTAACGTACCTTTGTTTGGGGACCGGAAGTAAACCGGAAGTTGACCACAGAAACGAAACGGCCGCTCGCTGCAGTCAGACAGACGTCCATCGTCATTGTAAAGATTTTTTTGTGGAGATTAAATATTGGTCAAAGGGTCACCAAAATGACCATCAACGCTGACAACATATCCGGGAACCGAATTGTGTCCTTTCACAATAAGATATCCTGTTTCAACACCTCCAAATAGCTCAATAAAAGCTCTTTCATCATCGCTCCGGCAAAAAAAGAATGATTTCTGTCCATGACGGACTCGGCGGACTATTCAACAACTCGCTCATTCGGGCCGAAAAGCCAACGGTGTGCGACACACTGTGAACCCGAGGGGCCACATGCGCTCGCCAGCGGCGTGTTTGGAAACCTGACATTGGTACGAAGGAGTGATCTCAGACTGATTCTTGGCACGATCGCGCTCACGATAGGCTCCCACTGGGGAGAAGAAACAGGCAGTGAGCGGAAAGCAACAACTGGTTATAGCCGAGGAGAGACAGTCATGTTCAGACAAACAGTCTGTCAGAGAACAATCGAGACGCAGACAAGCACTTTTGGGGAAAAATGAAAGCGCTTCATCCTCAGAAAGAAGGACAACAGAGACATAACACTCCACTGATTTATTTAAGGGTTGTAATGCGTGGCTGCAGTTATGAGCTCTCAATATGGCTGACTTCAGTTTTAATACCAAAAAACAATAAATAAGTAGTGAAGTCAAAATCTGTAGGTAGTGATCCTATGTTGTGCATACTAAGTATATTTTCCTTCCTCTTTGTAGTCACTGGCGTCTTTCTCAGTTTTTTTACAGGCCGCGTCTCGAAGAGAGTAAGTTGTAACTGCGACTTGATTGGTTCCACTTTCACAGATTGGATGCAGTCAATTTCTGTCAAAATAGGTTTTACACATGTCGTTAAAGTCTTGCTGCAACAACAAAATGTTCCCCGTCACAGCAAAACAATTACAACGATTGAGCTGTCAGCGAAGTGAACCCGAATCGCTCGCAGTGCTTATGTTCACAGGCGATACAGAGTGTCACAAAGCAGTAGTGGGTGTTTACAGACACTTGTGATCACTGTGGCATTCAACAAAAAAAAGTTTTTCCCAGCTGTGGAATTGTGTTTCAACTCTGCAGAGAATTCATATTCCTGATAGGAAACGTCTCCTGAGTGCATTGACACAGAATATCTGATCTTGTCATTTTCCGACGCTGTGGCTTCCTCAAGTGGTCATTCTGTGGCGCTCCAGCACAGTAGCAGTAAACACGTGGTTAGTCTTGTGAACAAAAAAATAAATAAATCAGGTTGAAAATACAGTAAGAGGGGAAAGATGTAGATGGGGGAGAGTCCCATCTGTACTCTGGCTTCATGAACTAACTTGGGTCTATTCTGTGTCATCTGCGACTTATATTGACGCGGATAAGTGTGCATTGGAGTGACAAATTGTACCTTGTGCGTTAAGTTTGGCATGTTGTATGTTGCATTTGGTACAATGGTTCAGGATCAAATTTTGAATTCTAAGGAACACAACATTCACAGCCAAAACGCAGCTCTAAGGCAGAAACAAGTTCTTAGTTGTTCGCTCAGGGTACACTTATATTAACGAAAATGAGAGACAGAATAAATTCATTCACGCAAACTGTGGCAAGGTCAAGGCCCTATTATGTTAAAAAAAAAGGTTTCACTTAAGGGAACATTTGCAGTTATTCTGAATTGTATCGCTCATGATTGTCCAGAGACAATAAAAGCTTTTACAGCTTCAGCAGCACTCAGAAGCAGAATGATATAAAGCGCACTCCTACTTAACACATTGAAATACATTATCGCCTTTTAATCGAGAATACATTATCTGAAAATGAAACATTCCTGTTATACGGCAGAGTATTTAGCTCGTGTCACGAACTAAACTGGTTGACCGGCTGCTATTAAAGCCTATATATCTCTCTATATCGTCGCTACGCACAATCAGCGTTATAAAACACGACGCGCTGAATGCGTAGGCAAAGTCAAGGAGGTAGAAGCAAATAACTCCCACCTCCTCTGATACGATATGCAGCAACATGTCAGAAAACACTGTCTGCATTTCATTACCGGGGAGAGGACTCTCTTCTGCTTGCGCCCTGACACACTTTGTTGCTAAATTGGAGAGAAAAGAAAAGGGTTATGCAACACTCAACCTCTGTACTCTCACCCAAAGTCTTTGGGAAAAGGGAGAAGAGGATGACACATCGAGTCGGCTCGGCTCGCTGGCAGAGGGGGGGAAAAAAAACAGCAGAGCGGAGCAGCAGACGCGCTGCAGCCTGCTGGGAAACCGGGGCCGGAGCTCTGGGAAGGCTTACGCCAGTTAAAAACATCTGGGCCACGATAGAGCGGATGACCTCTTGCTAGAAACACGCACTGGGCTAAAAACATGTTATTTCTCCGTCACTCCGGGACAGACGCCGCGAAATGAATCCGTAGCGATTGAGGCCGCAAGACATGGCACGATGCTGCAAAACCATCACGGGAGATTTAAGTGCGTGGCAAAGTCATTAATCACCTGGGGTATAAAGCGGAATGAAAGTTCTCGGCCCGAATTCATCCCACTGAGCTATTCTTGGCGGCTAATTTACCCACAATTCACGGCCCGAAAATCCCCCCCCCCCCCGTGTGTGTCTTTTCCATGTATCATTTAGAAGAAATCCCCCTGAAGTGCGGGGT